TCGAACCAGGCTCGCTTGGCCCTCTCGCTGGGGAACTTCGGGGCCCTGGTGCCGATCGGTTCTAGGGCACCCAGACAGGACGGCTTGGAGTTCGGAGCCCTCGAAAAAGACCCTTAAACTCGGCCCCGGAAGCTTCAGGAAACGGTACTCCAATTTTTTTTTTACAAGGATGTCCCATGGTCGCTCTTCCACCCGGATCGAAAATATGACTGTCTAGGTCCTCTCATCATTAATCATTAATCATTAGTCATTAAACTCGCGTCCATTGAAACGTTTCTCGTCGAGGAAATTTCTTGGCGCCAGTAGAAGTGATTTCCCTTGAATAATCGGTATTGAAATCGGTATTGTACCTCCTCGAGATTGGACAGAAAATTCGGAGATGCCGGTAATTCCGGGGCCGAGTTTGCCTTCCTGGACCCACCGGAGAGGTTGGACGTCGCTTATCGGGTCTCGCGAGCTCCTTATCGCGCCAGGACAGGGGAGACCCGGAGGCTTATTCGTACCTGGTCGAGGGCACGGGATGTGCCTGGACATTGCAGATCAGTCCGACCTCGAAACCCACCCGGCGCACCAAGAGGGACAGCTTTGCATCTCCGGCCACGGAGGGTGCCTTACTTCCAACGGGCTCTGCAGAAACGAGCAAAACGCGCGCCCGACCCTTAAGGTGATGCGAAAGTGCCATAGAAAATCTCTCATTAATGAAACTTTTCTCCAAACAAACCAAATTCATTTCTACCTCTACAACGTGAACACGAAGGCCATAAGGAAGGTCCTGACACTCGTGAGATTTCTTTTAAATTTCTCTGTAGATATTTTTAAAAGTTTTCACAAGGGGAAAAAAAAAGAAAATGAAATTTCCTGGGTGTCAGGATCTTCCTCGTGGCGTCCGTATGCGCGTTGTAAATTTGGAAACGATTCGGTGCACTCAGTTCGGAAAAAAAAAGTTTCCTAAGCGAGACTCCTGCCGGCACTTTAGCATCGCCTTAATCCCTCGCCTCCAGTCGCAGCGGACGAGGACCTCGCACGAGGTGACCCTAGGAGAGACCGAGGAGATTGGGTTCCCGCAAATCGGATGCTGGGGATATCTGGAGGCGAATGAAGGAGTCGATAAATCGAAGCGTGCGACCGGTTCCCTCGGGAGCCAATTCCCGAGACCACAGTGGACCAATTGCCGGCTAATCGGAGGACGAATTCGCGCAAATCGCATCCCGGACATAGATCGGCGAGGATGGGCTCGTATCTTTGAATCTACATTGGAAGAGGGTAGCGAGGGCTCCGCGCGTTACCTCGTCGTCGGGGCCGGGTAGCCTTGCGCGTTGCAAACCAAGACGACGCTGGTGGAGGCGCGCCTCTGGTACGCGCTCAAAGAGTCGTCCGTGGAGAAGCCAGGTGACTTCGAGCCCATCGGTTCTGTGGAAAACGAGGGGATGGTTCATTCGGCTACCAACTAACGAAGCAGAGGTTCAAGGCTAGACGGACGCGACGACTTAGCAGCGGGGAAGCTCGGCCAGGCACGGGAAGCCGGAAGAGAATTCCTAGTTGCTTCTAGCCAAAAGATCGGGAACCACCGTGGTAAACCACGAATAAGGAGGCTCTCTAGAGGAACCCAAGTTAAGCCTAATCCTTCTATCTAAACACCTAGGTACCCGGATTAAACACCGAAGCCGCTAGATTGAACACCGAAGCCTGGATGGATCGTGGGAGAAGAACCAGGAGAGGAGTTACCTTCAGGACAAAAAGGAGGATCAGGATTCCGTCGACAAGGTCACTCTTTAGGGGGCCGCTCCAACCCTGAACGTTACCTCGTGGTCGGGGCCGGATAGCCTTGCGCGTTGCAGGCCAAGACCAAGCTGGTGGAGGCGCGCCTCTGATAGGCGCTAAGGGAGATGTCGGTGGAGAAGGCCGGCGATTTAAATCCTAGTGGCTCTACGAACATTCGGGGATCGGAAAAATGAGCTGCGAAAAAGATGAGGGAACTACCGGGTAGAAAAAAAAAATAAATAGAAGTAATTAAAAAATCCCGAGGCTCACCTCCTGATGGGGACCGGGTACCCCTGCGCCTGGCACAACTGACTCGCCTCTTTTCCCAGATCCGCCTCCACCCACTCGAGCTTGCGACTGCTCGGCAACTTCGGTTTAGCACTCGACGTGGGTTCTACCGAGTTAAATAAAAAATGTCCCTTCTACTCCTCTTCCAAGATATCGACCCTACGTCCGGGACAGGGTACCCTTGACCGCGCTAAACGACGAATGTCGGGGTTCGATTAAGAGGAAGAGCGATAAGAGGAGGGCGGATAGGGATAAATCGAATAGGAAACGCCGAATGGAATCGACAACGCGTCTCACCTTCTAATGGGGACAGGGTACCCCTGCGCCTGGCACATCAAACTCTGGGAGGCGCCCACGCTCGCGTCCACCAACTCCACTTTGCGACTGCTCTGTAACTTGGGCTTAGCACTGGACGTGGGTTCTGCCGAAAATCGGGTCATGAGCGGCTTATAGGATACAACCTCGGACAGAGAACACCGGTACAGGGTACGCCCAGCTAGAATCTTCGTCAGTAATCGAGCCATCGCTCGATGACGCGGAACGAGATCACGGAAGTACCTCACCTTGTTATAGGAACGGGATATGCCTGCGCCTGGCACATCAGGCTCAAAGGAAATCCTGAAAGCGCCTCGAACCACTCGTGCTTGCGATCATTCTGTATCTTTGGTTTGGCACTGGAGGTGGGCTCTGCCGAAAATCCGGGGAACCGAACATGTTAGGATGAAACGTGCAGGAGAAAGCAGAATGCTGAAACAGGACACTCTCAGCTGGAAAGGGTCCCTGGACCTCACACGTCCTCGCAAAAAAATCACACCGTAGCTCAACAATTCGGAACGAGATCATAGAAATACATCACCTCGTTATGGGAACCGGATATCCCTGCGCCTGGTACATCAGGCTCAGGGGAAACCCGGAAATCGCCTCGAACCACTGGTGCTTGCGATCGGTTGGTATCTTAGGTTTGGCACTGGAAGTGGGCTCTGCCGAAAATCAGGGGAACCGAACAGGTTAGGATGAAACGTGCAGGAGAGAGCAGAATGCCGAAACAGGGTACTCTCAGCTAGAAAGAGTCTCTTTTCCCCGTATTGCCTCCCAAAATTTGTGAAAAATCGAGCCATCGCTTCACAACTCGAAACATCATAGGAATACCTCACCTCGTTATGGGAACCGGATATGCCTGCCCCTGACACATCAGGCTCAGGGGGAATCGCGAAATCGCCTCGGACCACTGGTGCTTGCGATCGATTGGTATCTTAGGTTTGGCACTGGAAGTGGGCTCTGCCGAAAATCAGGGGAACCGAACAGGTTAGGATGAAACGTGCAGGATAGAGCAGAATGCCGAAACAGGGTACTCTTAGCAGAAAAGGGTCTCGGGTCCCCACATGTCTTCGCAAAAAATTGAACCAGGTAAAATTTTCGTGACTTATCGTCAAAAATCAAGCCATCGCTCCATAACTCGAAACATCATAGAAACACCTCACCTCGTTATGGGAACCGGATATGCCTGCGCTTGACACATCAAGCTCAGGGGGAATCCCGAAATCGCCTCGAACCACTCGTGCTTGCGACCATTGGGCGGTATTTTGGGCTTGGCACTGGACGTGGGCTCTGCCGAGAAGGGGGATAATTTTCCTTTGGCCCGAGATATGGGGTACTGACCGTGTCATCGGGACCGGGTACCCCTGGGCTGGACAGGTGAGGGCCAGCGGGACCGACCGAGGCGCAGGGGGCACTACTTTGATGTCGGAGCTCGTGAACTTCGGCTTGGCGCTGGACACCGGCTCTGGGGACACCGGAGAACGCGAATGGGTGGCTTACCTAAACCCGGGGACCGGGTAACCCTGGGCGGGGCACAGGACGTAGCATTTCTGGCCCTCGCGAAACGCGACGTCCATCGTCTTCACGGATGCCGCGCTGAACTTGGGCTTGGCGCTCGAGACCGGCTCTGTCGAGAAGACTTTACTAGCGGCCTCGACATTTATGCCGACCTACCCTATTACTAGGAGGTGGAGTCCGCAATAATAAGAAAAGGTTTCATCGAACCAGAGAAATATATCATTAAGGGGATGTGAATGTGACATTCGAGAGGTCAATGGTTCGTGAAATTTTTCTCCAAACGGGGTGTACCAAATCGTTTCAATCTTCACAACGTGAATATGGCTATAAAGAAAGCCCCGACACTCCTAAAATTTCGCTTTTTATAAAAAATCTTAAGAATACCTATGAACAAATGTTTAAAAAGTTAAAATTCCATGAGTTTCAGGGACCTTCCTTATACCCTCCATATTCATATTGTAAAAGTTTGAATGGACTCAGTACACCCAGTTTGGAGAAAAGTTTCATAAACGAGACCTCTTAGACGTCACTTTCACATCGCTTTTAATTCAATGAATAATTAACTGAGATAAATTCAGATGAATTTAAATAAATTGGATAAAGAATTTCCTCGGAAGTATGATCATTTATTTGAGTTTATTTCAGTGAAATAATTATTCTTTGAATGAATATATGATATCTTTGGCTCAATGAATGTTTCTCTAAGTGTAGGAGGAGATGGAGTAAACGAGGAGGTGCGGTCCACTCCCCAGGATCCGACGACGACGAGACGCCACCTCGAGACGAGACCCAAGATCCGCGTTGCGCAGGACTTGGATAGGACAGGCGAGGACCTCGGATCAAAGGTTGGATCCAGGAAGTCTTACCTAAACGCCGGGACCGGGTAACCCTGAGCAGGACACGAGAGGGAGGAATCCTTGCCTCGGCGGACGGTAACGTCCAGGGTCTTTACGGACACTCCGGTGAACTTGGGCTTGGCACTCGAGACCGGCTCTGTCGAGAAGATGTACGCAGCCATTTTTCCAAGATTCCATTATATTCTTTCATCCCGATGACCTAACCTTAAATTCCCCAGGTAGAGGTGGAACTCGCGGTACCCGGGGCATCCTCTTTACCTGAACGCTGGAACAGGGAAACCCTGAGCAGGGCAAAGCAGGGTGGTGCTTCCTCCGAGCTCCGTCCAGGGGTTGGTCGACTTAACGTCAAAAGCCGTGAATTTCGGCTTTGCGCTCGAGACCGGCTCTGAATCAGACGTCGAAATCCGAAATAACGACGGAGAGAGGCGAGGGGGATCTTTCACAGCGCCTCCACCTCTCTGCCCTGCGAGTCGCCGGATGAGACTTACTTGAAGATCGGCGCAGGGTGGGCCTGAGCGGGACAGAAGAATATGGCGCTCTTGGCTCCCTGGACCTCGAAGGTGCGGCTCTTGTCGATCATCGAGAACTTCGGCCTGGACAGAGCGACCGGCTCTACGGAAAGGACGAGGCGTGGGCTGCGTGCGGAATTTCGAGGCCAAGCGGAGCACCGACCGAAGCGCCAAACGACTTCCTCGCGTACTAATCGACTCTCCCATGTACCGATCTCGCTATTTCATCTCGACCCCGAGAAAAGAATGTCGTCGAACCAATTGAAATATTCGGTCAATTCAATGGATCATTATTTTACTTGAATACACTCGGATAAATTGGCTGCAACGTCCCCTCGAAATCGCGACAATTTCTTTGAGTTAAAGGGACGTGAAAGTGCCATCCGAAGAGTGAGATCGTTCACGAAACTTTTCTCCGACCAGGGTGTGCCGAGTCGTTACAAACTTTACAACCTAAACGCGATGGCTGTAAGGAATGTCCTGATAATCGTGAAATTTCATTTATTATAAACAATTTTGAAAATATCTATGAGCTAAGTTTTAAAAATTCATGTTTTATGGGTGTCTGGACCCATAAAATTTCCTTACAACCGTCATGTTCGCGTTGTCAAGTTTAAAACGATTCGGTACATCCAGTTCGGAGAAAAGTTTCATAAACGAGACTTCTTTAACGCTACTTTTACCTCACCTTAATTCGAGGGAAATAAATATTCATTGGTACCGTTCAATAAAATAAGCTAAACGTAACCTAGAACATTTTCAGATCGGCATAGCGTTTAGCAGATGGCTCTAAAAAATCTGCAAAAACTTGCAGGCTTTACAAAACGAGCATTCTGATAAAATATTTCTATGGTTCGATGAAATTCTTTTTTTTTTCTCGGTGTACAACGAGTCGTTCGTCGCTTCTTTCGAGGTCGACAAAAATCCCGCTTCCGGCGACTCGTGGCGGAGACGAAGAGGAGCTTGCTGGGACCGGGTCGGCGACGAAGGAGGGCGTCTTCGGGTACCTGAACGTGGCCACCGGGAACGCCTGGGCGGGACACGGCAACGTGAAGCTCGAGTCCCTGGCGACGCGCAAACCGACGTCGTTCGTCGACGGAAACCGCGGCTTAGAGCTGCCCACCGGTTCTGCACAAGCGGAAGAACCAACGCGTTGGAAACGTGCACTTCGAGCTCGGCCTATGTCGGGTCGATTTTAATTTCACGAGGACATCGGTCAACTTAAAATATTCCCATCGATGGCAAAGCGAGTTACGAAAGGGTCATTCTACATATATAAAACGTGAAAATATTTGAAAACGTAAGAAACTTCACCACGTGATTATGAAGGTCCTAAGGAAGAACGTGGTGCTCGTGAAATTCCATTTCTCCAAAAAAAAAAAAATATATATATGTATTCTTGGTACTAGACCGGGATAAATAAAAAATAAAAAATTATTATTAACCCCTTGCGCCACAATGACGAGCTAGACTAATTCAGCTTGAATGTGTTCACAATTAAATCGAAGCGTAAGGGGTTAAAAATGAGATTTCATTAACACCGCGTTCTTCCTTAGGGCCTCCAGAATCGCGTGCTGAAGTTTCAAATGATTCGGTGCATCCAGCTTGGAGAAAAATTTTATAAATATTTGGACGTTTTATATACATATATAATGACCCTTTCATATCACCTTAAATGGGAATACGCTTGGCTATACTATTTGAAAAAAATGAGCCCTACCTGGGGGGTGAGGTAGGAGGGGGAGGAAGGAAACGGAAGAAAAGAGACAACCCTACCTATACGAGGGCACGGGGAATCCTTGAGCTGGACAGAGCAGCGTGACGTTTCTTTTGCAGGTTATGGAGAACCTCTGCAGGTCGCTCGGCCCTGATAGTTTAGGTCGCGCGCTGGACGCCGGTTCTACGGGAAAAATGGGTTAAGGTGTTATGAAAGGGTTATTCTATAGGCCACTGAAAGACTGAAGGGTTTGAAGCTGATTTTTGCTTCATATCATTTAGTCTTTCATGACCACCCTATATATAAAGAAGATATTTATAAAACTTTCCTCCAAACTTGACGCACAGAATCATTTCAACTTCAACACGTGATTACGGAAACCCCAAGGAAGAATGCGATATTGGTGAAATTTCAGATTTAAAAAAAAACACTTTTACTTATCTCAGACCAGAGCCAAGACGCATAATTTCATTGAAAAATGAAATTTCACGAGTATCGCGTTCTTCCTTAGTCTCTATAATCATGTGCCGAGGTTTCGAATTATGTGCACCCAGATTGGAGAAAAGCTTAATAGATATTTTTACGCTTTGATGTATATAGAATAAAATCCCTTGATAACACCTTAAGGTAGGATGATATACTCGGGCGGCTCTCGCAGGTTTGGCGGCGTGGTCTCCTCGGAGTTGAAATTGATTATGAAAAACAGGAGACGTCGATAAACTTGCGAGACGGCGAGTCGCCCTGGATTCCTTCCGAGGGATATACATTACTTACGGTAAAGTGCTCGCAACGAAGAGGGCGAATCGAACGATTCGACGAGTTAATTGATTAATCGGATAGGCTTCGCCGCGAGCGATTTGAATTTCACAGGTGGGAAAAGTTACCTGTGCGACGGAACGGGAAACCCTTGGGCCGGGCACAGCAGCGTCATGGCACCGGAGAGCGTGATTTTGAAAGTTTGGGAGTCGGCCAGAGACGGGAATTTCGGGCGGGCGCTCGCAACGGGCTCTACGGAACAAAAGAATCGAAAAAGAAGACGATGGAGCCGAGAATCGCGTACCGAAATTCGCTCGAAATTTTCTCGCTGAAAATGGTAGTCGCCGAAAACAGGAAAAAAAAAATCGGGCCCCGGCGGGATCCTCAAAGGAGGGGAAAACGCGAATACCCGTGAACCGGAACCGGAAAAATCTGCGAAAAGCCTAGCAACGTCATGGCACCGGAAAGCGTGACTTTGGAGATCTGGGCTCGAAATTTTCTCGCTGAAAATGGTAGTTGCGACAAAAAAAGAAGAAAAAAAAATCGGGGGATCCTCAAAGGAGGAGAAAACGCGGATACCTGTGAACCGGAACCGGAAAGGCCTGCGCCGGGCACATCAGCGTGAGCACCTGGTCCCGATCGACCCTGTAGGTTCTCGAGTTCTCCGTCATGGGGAATTTCGGTCTAGTGGCGGCGACGGGTTCTAAGGGCAAGAAAAAGGGGGTCTTCGGGGGTGTTCGAAGACGGAACCGCGAAAGCGTACCTGTGCGAGGGCACAGGGAACCCTTGGGCGGGACACGTAATGGCGGACGCGTCCCCGAGAAGAATCGTGAACCCTCTCGAGTTGTCCACCGTCGGGAACTTGGGCCGGACGCTGCTCACCGGCTCTGACAAAAGACAGATCGCAGACTTGGCAGTTTTCCGGTATCACGGACATCGCGGTCCCCCTCCGCTGCGAGGGCCCTGAGGAGAGAGGCGGGGAGGGAGGAGGAAGAGAGTCCATCGCGCGAGATCCAAGATGGCGGTCCCCCGATCGGAAGAGGGAATAGCAGACTTACTTATGGAACGGGACGGGGAATCCTTGCGCCGGACACATCACGGTGACCGATCCACCCTTGGTCGTGCGAAAGCTCCTGGAGTCGTCGATCGTCGGAAACTTGGGCCTAACGCTCCCGACGGGCTCTGAATCGGGTCGTCGTGGAAAGATTAACGCTCGCCCGTAACAGAATGAGAAGATAAAAAAGAATAAGAAAAAAATGGATAAATAAATAAAAATCTAGAAAAAAAAAAGAGACCCGGCGTCTCCGTCCGACTTTCGGGCTCGCAACGAGGATGTTCGAGGCTCCTTGGCCATGTTTGATCCTTAATCGCCTCTTTTCTTCCCCCTCCGTCCCTCGTCCGCCGGTCTACCTGTAGGATGGAACGGGGAACCCCTGGGCCGGGCACGAGGAGGCTAGGCTCCCGCCGATGATGGACTTGAATCCGCGAATGTCGTCCGTCGCCGGGATCTTGGGCCGGACGCTGCCCACGGGCTCTAAAAACGAAGGCCCCGGGTGTACCCTTTGACCCGTCCCGATCGAGTCCCGCGAAGGGGTGCTGTGCCGTCCGGGGTCTCCGCGCGCTGGAGACTTCGACGCGCGGCAGGCAAGGCCCCTCGCTCGCGCCAGCGTTGAAGTCTCCGGCAGTCCCGACCGGCGCAAGGGGGATCGCCGGGATAAGGGGTGCGGGGACGGGGGGAAAGGGAATGATCGAATGAAATATCGTTCCCGGAACCGATGAGAGTGGGCCCTACCTAGATGACGGAACCGGGAAGCCCTGGGCCGGACACAAGAGGGGCACACTTCCGGCCGCGCTCGCCGACAGTCCGTTAATGCTGTCCAGACTCGGGAACTTCGGCCGCACGCTTCCCAAGGGTTCTGCGTAAAGAGTTAGGATCGCCCTGGCATGCGGCCGCCGCATGCGGCTCGCCCGCTGTTCCCAGTTTTTCCCATTTTCTCGTCTTATCCGCACTTCTCGTCTTTCTTTCTCGAGACTTCTCCCCTCTCCTCCCGTTCCCGTTCCCGTTCCCCGTTCCCAGGTGCCAAGCTCGCGTCCGCGCGTACCTCGGGCCGCGTTCGGACTGCGGTCGGCCGCATGCGGCCGGTGACGCGTGCCCGCAGGGGTACCCTGTCCCAGCATTCAGGCTGCCGCCGAATCTGGCCGCTCTGCGCACTCGTTTTCATCGTTTAACGTTGAAAAAAATAACGTCTCCATATCCCAATTCGGATTTTCGACCTCGTGGAGAGATATTCTCCATACTCCTCAGTGACCAATAAAACTCTAACTTTGAGTATTTACTAGGGAGGTCTTCGACTCAAAACTCTAAAGAATCATCTCGACGACCTCGTAGAGTGCGACTTCGAGCCGGCCAAACTCGGCGGGTGCAAATTTTGCGAGTAGACTAACATTTATCGCAAACCCGATGGGATCGCGGAGTTCGAGCGAATCGGTCCTATCCGTAGATCCCCACTGTCCCAATTCGATATTCAAAATTCCCCCGATCTACCCTGCAGAGACTAAATTCTGCATCCCTCAATTAATCGTAATTAAGGTGTCATGGAAGTTTCATTCTATATAATATCAAAACATCCAAGTATTCGTGAAACTTTTCTCCAAACTGGGCCCACCGAATCCTTAGAACTTAACCACGTGATTACGGAGGCCGTGAGGAAAAACACGACGCACATGAAATTTCATTTTAAAGAAAGAAAAATGATTTATCCCAGACTAGGACCAAGGACACATTTTTTTTTTTCCTATGAAAATTGAAATTTCATGAGCGTCGCCTTCTTTATCAATCATGTGCCGGAGTTTCAAATGATTAGGTGCACCCAGTTTGGGGGAAAGATTCATAAATATTTTGACGTTTCATTTAGAAGAGCCCTACCATACTTCATCGAATAATACTAAGAAAAATCAGGAAACAAGGAGAGCACCGATTCGCTCTCTTAGGCGGGGGCGCTGTCGAATAACATCCCGTAAAGAATGTGACAATCCGCTTTAAAATTGATATAATCTGTTATCACCCTCGAGAGCGCCCGAGTCGCGGCCCATTTTTCCGCCCGCGCGTCCGCATGCGGTTCGCCGCGTGCGGACGCGCGCACGGAAACGAGGGCTCACCGTTCGGACTAGAAAAGCGGAGCGTTCGACGAGTCCGGATTTGTTTTTTTTTTTTTGTATGAATTTTTTAATTATTTTGCCAGCGTCGTCTCGAGGTCGGTCTTGCGAATCCGGAACGGTGCGACCCCGCCTGGTCTCCGGGGCCCAACGAGAGAGGGACGCGATTCGTTAATCGATATCTCTTCGATATTCCGATCACTCACCGGTGATGACGAGGCGGCCTTTAGTAGCTGATAATCTGGTCTCTCCGGTGAGGCGATGCTTGGTTCGGCACTGATAAGTCTTGTATCCATCCTCGGGTCCTACGTCTCTGATGTGAAGCTCTCCGGAAGGTAGCACCAGGTATTTGCCCTCTGTATCCCGCCCGAGAAGAAATCTTGGATTAATTCCCGATCTTTCCGAACTCGAACTAGCAATGGTCACAGAGTCGTATCATAGAGAAAAGAGTGGCCGAGAAAAAAAAAAATTAATTCAACCAAGGAAATATTTTATTAACTCGCGGAACAATTGTTTCACTCGAATCCACTGTCACAATTCCGAGGAAACCGTGCATCCAATTAATTCGAATGTATCCGAGTTCGAATAATTATTTTCACTAACGAAACACATTTCTTTGGTTCGATGACATTTTTTAAACAGTGAAGGTGGAAAAGGAGGTAACTACACCCGGTGAATTAAATGATAAATTTAGATGATTCTAAGGTCATTGCATATACACATATCAAAACGCCAAGATATTTTTTCCATCATCAATCTTTTCTTCAAACCGAGTGCACCGAATTATTTGACACTTTAACACGTGGTTATGGAGGCTCTGATGAAAGTCTTGAAATTCACGCAATTTCATACTTCGAAAAAAAAATTTTTTTGGCCCTTGTCCAGGATAAATATAATTTTTCTTTTTTCAAAATGTGAAACTTCGCGAGTTTCAACACCTTCGTTAGGACGCGTTAAAGTTTAAAATTATTCGGTGCACCCAATTTTGGGAGATGTTTTTTTTTATATTCTGAGTTTTTGATATATATGACACTTTCACAACACTTTAAATGATTTCAAATAATTATAACTCTTTTTGTAGGAAACTTCAAGTATCATACGACTCTTGACTCGGGAATCATGCAATGGCTCCCATCTGATAACCGCACGAGGACGCAAAAAAAAAATCGACATTTCCTCGAGAGGGTTAATAAAATGACTTGCGTCCACGTGGGCCGTCACTCGAACGTTCTTTCTGCTGCGACGAGAGTCCCGTGATCATGTCATCTCAAGTCGCAGATGAAGTTCGAAGAAGCGCTTTCAGAGGTGCCAATATGAAGCCACACTCAGTTGCCCATCGAACCTTGGACTCGATCCACTATCAATAACGAGGAAAATCGACGAGTCCTGATTTTCCGGAGGCAATGCTCTCCGACATAAATTCAAATTCATTCCAAGGCTCGAGGGAACGAGCCTCGGCGCGCATGCAAAGCGCCATTCCAAAAACCATTTACTAAAGAGAGGAAATTCTTGGGACGATTCTCGGATAGAGGAGAGGCGGTAATCTGGGAATGAAGAATAAGCACTGATCGTCCCTTCCACATGGACCACTTCCTGTTCTCACCGACAAGGTGATTAAAAGCCTCGCCTATGGCTGATATTAATTTCTTTTTTCTATCTTTTTAGCCAGGAAGATGATTATCCAGGATCGTCTCAGTGCCCATCCCTGCATCGGGGATAGGATCCGGAACAGCGCGAGCAGCGGCAGTCAACGTCCTCGATATGTACCAAAAATCGCGTTCACCTCGATATCGACGAATTATCAGAGTCGGCGAGTCGTCGCTCGCCAGGGCGAGAATTTAAACGATTCGAGCACGACGAGGGAAAATAATCTCAGTGCAGAGTCCGAGCGAGCCGAGCCTGGACGAACGAAAGCGGCATGGACGACGAGTGAGGGAGCTCGCTTCACCGACGATCTCGTTTATCGATTTCCCTCGAAAATCTCGACGTTTTCATTACCCAGGAACGTGGAAGGATAACGAAGGAAACCGTGGAAACGCCGGAGAACGCGCGCCGCGAGGAGTCGCGTTCGACGGAAAAAGAAAGATGGCCGCCATGCGACGTCTTCCCTAGCCGAGGAGAGTCATTGCAGGAATTGGCAGGTTATCGCATGCATAGAGATGTAACCTGGTTATATCATTAATCCCCTAAATATTATCCGACGCACTATTAACAGGCTACTAAATATCAGTATTCTCTGCAATGAGAAAAAAGATTCACCGAAGCAAAGAAAGGTCTCTTCGAATGGTGCCGACGAAACACTCGGTTAATTCAAAGAATTATTATTTAATAGAAATAAACTCGAATGAATTAGACGCAACGTTTCCTCGGAATTCGTGAGAATTCATTGGAGTTCACTTGAATTAATTCGAGTGAATTCATTAAATTAACGATATATTTCTTTGGGACCGTTTATCATCTTTGGTTCAGTGACATTGGTTTTTTTCCTTAGGGCGCTTTCAATGAAGAAAAACGACCAGGTATAGAGTGAGAAGTCTAGTGGGATATAACCAGGCTCGAGGTGTCGTCATTTCTCCATCTCTAGACATGCAGACGGAGACGGAGTCGGTAGTCGGTCGGTCAGTCGGTCCAGCGGAAGCTGCCAATCGCGTACCGTAATCCGCGCTCGGATAAATCTCAGTGGCGTCGTCCTCCAGCCAAGAGTCGACCTCGACGAATTCGGCGACGAAACTCGGTATGTGACACTTGATAATGGCCGCGTTCCCCCGTAGCACGTGCTCGTCCATCACGTTAACCGCATACCGCTGCCCGACGACTGTAACCAGACACGATCACCGATATTTCAGAGGAGTGGGAATGTGCGGTCTCGTTAGAAAAATCCCGAAATTTGGGGAACGACTCCAAGGAATCGAGGCCGCATCCGGTTTGGATCCCCTGGTACGCGAGTTAAGGTTGCCACGAGATGGCGCAGCGGTTGTCGACTCTCGTACCATAGGACCGGTCGTCGGGAAGATAGGAACCGCCGTTCGAGTCGGTCCACCCGACCACGTCAACGTGATCCCCGACGAAGGATGGGACCTGGCACTTGAAAATGGCGGCGTTCCCGCGAATCGTGAAGACGTCGTACACCTGAACCTCGAAGTACTGGGACACCACTGGAACGAGATTAGGATTTAGGACGCGGCTCGATAACCCGATTTCATGTGTTCCTGTTTCTCTAAATCGCGCTAATTATCCCCGGAGGTTCCCGTCGTCGTCGGTCCAGTCTAGGCCTCGGATGCGCTGAAGGAATAGAGAGAGCGGGTGGGCTAGGTTAGTTTCCTTGTTTCTGGGATTCAGGAAGAAATCGTGTACCCTGCTCGCTGTTCGTCCCCGCCGGATAGGAGATCCCATCCTCGACCGACAGCCACTCGATCACGTCGACGAAGTCGGCCACGAAGCTGGGCACCAGGCACTTCAGAATAGCCGTGTTGCCGCGCAGCACGAACTCATCGATGACTCTCGTCTCATAGAACTGCTGCACCACTGTAAGCCGTGGGCGACGTCGTCGGTGAGAGGGCGGCTCGTGACGCTTAGGGACCGACCGTCAGTCGCATCGCGACCGTCGCGGGGGACGGATCGTGGAAAAACCGCCGAGTCGCTGCGCGACGCCGAGAGAGGAAAGTAGAAACGATGGACGGTCAAAAGTCGACGAGAAATCGTTAATAAGAAATTTCTCAAGGGACGTTTCGCCATAATTTCCCCCAAAGAAAGTCTTCGGAATGACCGTGTTGCCGCGCAGCGCGAACTCGTTGATGACTGTCGTCTCATATTAAGTTGAGGAATAACTCCGCACGGTTTTAATTACATTATGTTATGTTAAATACGGTGGGAACTCATTCCTCGACGTAATAGAACTGCTGCACCACTGTAAGTCGTGGGCGACGTCGTCGGTGAGGGGGCGGCTCATGACGCTTAGGGACCGACCGTCAGTCGCGTCGCGACCGTCGCAGGGGACGGATCGTGGAAAAACCGCCGAGGCGCTGCGCGACGCCGGGATAGGAAAGGAGAAACGAAGGACCGTCAAAAGTCGACCAGAAATCGTGAATAAAAAAATTCCTCAAGGAACATTTTACCATCATTTCCCCGAAATAAAAAGTCTTCCCCCCTTCCAAGTCCCCGACTTTTGACGGTACAGGAGGAGTATCCGAGAGATCGTCACAGACTAAGAACTCGAGGCTCGGACTCTGGTACCGTATTCCACTCCGGGAAGGTAGACCGTCCCGTCGCTCGTCACCCACTGGTCGACCTGGACGAACTCGGAGACAAAGCTTGGGATTTTGCACTTGAGGATCGCGCTGTTAGCCCGGATGACGTACTCGTTCTCGGCCTCGGTGACGTAAAACTGTGACACGACTGCCGCCAAAACCACGTTGGTGCAATTAAAAAGCGTTTTCAGGGAATTCTCGTATCCCTCCGCGATAGAAGGATGAGACTCCGGATCCTTCCAACCCGTAAGGAGTTACAAAAGGGTTATTCTATATATATAGTGACCCTTTCATATCGCAGTAAAGACGACGAAGAACCTTCCGACGCGAAATCCAAGATGGAAGGACCAGGATCGCGATGTTTCGTTCTATGGAAGGAAGGAGGCGCTCCGGGTGCAAGAGGTGCCCCTGGCTCGAAGGAAGAAGACCTGCCACGAGTGGCCCTAGCCTAGAAAGGACGAATACCCTGCTCGATCCTGCCGTTCGGCAGATAGGTCTCCCCGTCCTCTCGAATCCAGGCCTCGACGGTTACGAATTCGGCGATGTAACTCGGGATGCTGCATCTCAAGATCGCGCTGTTTCCCCGGATCACGTACTCCGTCAGGATTTCCGGTTGATACGGTTGCGTAACGACTAAAAAAGGCCCCCAGGACTGAGTGATCCCCGCCATCTAGGATCGGTCGCGCTCGTCTGCCGCCGCTCGTCGCCGTTCCGAAAATCTTATCCGGCAAGGGACACAGGGATCGGGTCTATTTTCGTATTTCGACAAACGCTTCCTTCGCCCAACAAGAAAACCCTGCTCGAGATACTCCGGGGACTATTTCTCTACCGGAACCCTTGCAAAGTTCAAGCATTATAACTGGGTTTAATTACATTCCAGGGCGGTATTGGAGATCGAAAGAGCTCCCTAATGAACCGGAAATTCATTTGGCTAACGACTTAACTAGATTTTGCGCGTCGAACGGCGTTAAATCGTCCTTAATCGATCGAGGGAGAGAGGTCCGTCCGGCGCGCCAGCGGAGATGGGCGTGGCTACTCCCACCACCGCGCAGACCACGTGGTACGGCCTCTCCCCTGATTGGCTGCTTTTAATCGTCGATATCTCTAGAACGGTCGATCGTCCCGGAAATTGGAAAAGAACATTTCGTCGCGATTTTACCAGCTCTACGCGAGGAAGCGCTCGCCGAAGGGGTTAACCATCTGGGGAAACCGGGGGATATTCGAGGGATCGTCGAGAAACTCCACGTGCGATACCGTAGTCGCCGGTAGGCTTATAGCTGGACCCGTCGCTTCCTTCCCAGGACTCGACCGACACGTATTCGGCGACGAAGCTGGGAATGGTGCATTTCAGGATGGCTGCGTTCCCGCGGATCACGTATTCGGAAACCACCTCGGCCTCGTAGTACTGGGTCACGACTGTTAAAAATGAAATTCCTGGGTACCGAGTGAAGCGCTACCTCTATCCCGGCCTCTTCCCCGTAAAAACGATATCCTAGACCCTCGAGACCATCCTAGGAGTCGGAATTAACCCTCCACGTTGACTACCGCTGCCGATGGCGTCCGGCAATCGCGGTAAAAGGTATGAAAAAAGTTTTTTTTTTTTAATTTTTTAATTTTCAAGGTCGCGTCCGAGGAGTACCGTCACCGTCGTCCGGGTCGAAGGAGCGTCCCCGCTCGTCCTGCCAGCCGACGACCTGCACGAATTCGGCCACGAAGCTCGGTATGCTGCACTTGAGGATCGCGGCGTTACCGCGTATCACGTACTCGTTGTTCACCTCCGTCTGATAGTAGTGGTGAACCACTGTAACGGGATAGAGAGAGAGGAAGACACGGCGGGACGTGAGGTCTGCCTCGGTTCCGAACCCTACACCCGGAGGAGCCCTGTCTCCAGAGGCCATTTTGTACCGAAATCGCCACCGGGCGTGAACTCCTCGCCCTGGTCGGTGTGCCATGACAGCACCCTAACGAAGTCCGCGACGAACGACGGCACGACGCACTTCAGGATCGCGCTGTTGCCCCGGATGGCGTACTCCTTGTTGACGTCGATATCGTAGTACTGGGCCACAACTGCGAGTCCGACCGTTTAAAGCTCCTGCATTCGGCGACTCCTGGTCCCGCGTTGTCTCCCGTCACGGGAGACGCCTGCGCCCACGGCGCCGGGGCGCGCACCTGTCAGGGCGGAGAGGGCGCAGGCGCGACCGAAGAGAGAGCCCAAAGGACCACGCTTGCCCAAGGTCAGGGCCGTTCGGCCCTGTAGAGCCCAGAGGTCCTCTGGACACCCGGTCTTCGGTACATCGCGAGCGCCCACTCTGGCTAGGACCACGTCCGGTCGAAATGGTCAAGACTTGCGGAGCCATCGAGGGGTTACTCACTCAGGAAATCATGGATTTTTATTTATTAAGACTTTGTCACAATTTTAAGATCGAATATCACCGAATCCCATTGTTGTTTATCATATGAAATCAAAGGCAATCGATTCTTAAAGAAGGAAATCCATTTTCACCGATTTCCGAGTGAAGCCCCTCGGCTTAACTCGAGTTACGGTGGTCACCGAATCGAGGAAACCCGAGTCGCCCGTTTGATCGACCGAACGTCGTCCGTTCACCTGGTTAAGTGACCTGGGGGGCGGTGCGTCGACGCTCACCTGCTCTGACGTTGACGTCTCTGCTGTGCACCGACCCCACGGAAGACTTCGCCAGACAGCTGTAGATTTGGGAGTGCACCTCCTGCCGGTAGTCCTCGGCTCTGAACGGCGGGAAGACCAGGTTTCCGTTGGGCAAGACCTTCGACACAAACCATTCACGTGTTTAGTCAAAGGTCCTGGACATGCAGTGTAATCACGTCCACAAGAAATATTACGATTGTTCCTGTCAGAACTGATGTGGGACTCGATTCTCGAGTTCCGCACGCTCAATTTTCGCCTGCGAAATTGACAATTTCATATACGGTTCTAAAATGTTGACCAATCGACTTCGCAACAATGCGACATTTTTTTCATGGGAATCTATTCGTAGGTGAAAAAAAAAAATTCCCATGAACTCGAGAATCGGTTTCCTGGTCTGGTCTGATCCGATTAGTTGGTAGCGTGGTCATAATCTTCCGCGGGACCATTGCGACAAACCGAGAGCATTAACGTATGTACCAAACAGAAGACGAACGTAACTCATATGGAATGAGACGGATCGAGCCATTACGCCCATGTCCTCGCCCAACGGTGGCTAACGAGTCGCTGGCGGAACAAGTGAATTTATCTCAATGACTGTCGACGAAACAAGGGCCGTAGAGTCATCCAGAGTCGACGTTGAGCGTCCATAAGTCCACTCGATCGTTTTCCCAGCATTTTCTCTGGAATAGAACTTAACCTTTTAAAGGTCACCTCACCTGTCTCAGTCCGGGAACGTCGCCGACCGCGGTTCCGTCAGATCGTACCCAGATGATGTCCGGTTGGGGGTTTCCTCTAGCTTGGCACTCGACGACAGCTCCGGTTCCATTTGAAAAGTCCACTCGATTTGGGGGTTCCTTGACGAAAACGGGTCCCATAGATTCCTCCTCGGCGAGCACTGAAAACGAAGAAATACTCAGTTACTCTGTATAAGTATATAAATAAATAAATATATATATATATATTTCTAGTAAACACTCAGGCAATTTTTTTATAATTCACGTAACCAGAATATATAAAAAAAAGAACATTTTCTGATAAGTAATGCGGCGAGGGATTTTCAATACTGCCACAGGAGATGCATTAATGTAAGTGGTGGTATTCCAGGTTGTGCACTTTTTTTTAAATCCTAAATACAGGATTGCGAGATGAAATCCGCAGGTAAACGCAACTTTGGAAGTATCGAAAATGCCTGCAATTTTTTACGAGATTGTCTACAAACTAAGTGCCATTTATCCAAATTGTTTCGCCGTGTCTCTGGCTAACTTATCCTCTGATTTAATAAGACTGATTCGCGCTGTGTATAATAAGTATATAAATAAATATATATATACACTCAGGCGCGTCCATTCATCCCATCCGAGGCGCTCGCTTTTTGATTTCCCCGAATTGCCCGAGTTTTGCGTCCAAAGCGCGGGAACTTCTCCTTTCTCTCCCTCCAATGTTGCCGCCTCTCCTTCTAATTGCGACCGCTGCAACCGTGCCGGCAAAAAACCCGCGGCGACCCGGTTAGGTAAATGGACCCCTCCAGCCGACAGTTGACACGCTCGGCTACGGCAGTTCTAGTTCCTATCCTACGAGTTGACCTCACTCCACTTAACGCCATTAGTACTCTCCCTTTTCGACCCTAAACGCGATTGAACGCGTTATGCTTATTCATAAAGTGGACGCGCGTCGGCCGAACGGGACTCTCGTTAAAGGTGAACACCGGACGCTCCCGAAATCCTTGCGACCTCTTTATTGTTCCTTTCCAGGGGAATTACGGCCGATTTAATCTACGCGCATATTTTTAGAGCGCTCCCAACTCGGCCGCATAAATGGCGCACTTTCCTCCTCGAGCTAAGTGCAATACACTCGGATAATAATTCCATTGTCTCGATGGGTGATTACGCGGTGGAGGGCCGATTACCCGATGGTGCCCGACCGGCGGTCGCGGCGTTCGAATTCGTCGCCCTTCTTGGCGACGCCATAAAAATAAACCAAGGGGAGGTCGTAACGCCACGCGACACCCTATATTTACGCCCGCGAGTCTGCCCTCTCGCCGCTTCTCGTAACCCGCGGCGCACTCGAACCCTCTTCCGCGACTCCGGCGCGAAATATAAATATAATAAGACGCCCTTCCAACTCGCCGTTAACCCACTCGTTAAGGCGATGCGAAAGTGACGTCAAAGAGGTCTTTTCGTGAAGTATTTCGCGGAATTGGGTATAGCAAATCGTTCTAAACTTTACAACGTGAACGCGGAGATTATAAGAGAGGTCTTGGCATGGCTGTGGGAACCTGGAAACCAGTTTGAGGCGCAAACAAAATTAACAGACTTATTGGAGTGTTTCTGTGGTGCAGACGTTTGCGTCACGTTGAGGTTTGTTTCTGACATTTTTTTTTTCACAAAAACTAGAGCTGTTCAAAAAAGATAAAGAAATTCCGAAATCGTGGAAATTTGGATTTTTCGACTCTAATGAGTTCTCTGACGTTAGGGAAATTTAGAACCGCGAAAACGTTAAAAATGATCATTTTCACGATTTTACTTTTTTTTTTTTCCACGGCTTAGGATTCTCGTAGTGGCTTGCATTAATTTGCGCAAGCAAATCGCGGGAAGTACTTATGCTCAACATTTTTTGGGACCGATAGGAGTAGTTGTTGGCAGTGAGCAAAAGGTAAACTCCTTAAAAACGTCTTTTCATCCTATCACCTCACGTGAGTTTATTCGCCGGGTTCCCCAAGTGAAAATGTGAAATCACTCGACCGAAGGAACTCGGAGTTTCCGGTCGAGCAGTCTCGCGCGAATTATCTCACATTTCTACCACAGTGAAAGTCACGGAATCCCGGGAGATGTTCACATTTAGAATTTTCCCCAGACTCGTCACGAAATGGACCCCCGATTAATCTTTAAGTAGTGTAAGACGCGTTGCACCGATAAAGGTTAAGTCAATCAAGGATTGAAATCCATTGTTTGGGAACCACCTGGGACCCAATTCTCGAGTTCATAGGATCAACTTTCGCATGCGAAACTGACAGTTTCATATAAAACATTCAAACGTTGACCAATCACGCGACTCGCGGCAATGCGAAATTTCTCATGCGAATCCATTCGTACGCGAACAAAATCCGTACGAACTCTAGAATAGGAGCCTTGAATTCGAGTAACTGTAATCACGCGTTAAGTAATCCGTAATTAAGGATTTTATCTCGAGTGTTGGGGGCAAGTCGGCCATTTGTCTCCTGGGAGCCAATCGGAGCGTTTCGCCGCGTACAGTGAGCGAGCTGCGTCCCCCGTTCCGAAATCCACGTGGGGACGTTAAATCCGTTAAACCGCGGAGGGCGGTTGGAGCTCCGCGGGCCGAGGTTGGCCGAAGTCCGCCGAAGGCGGCCGAAGCGAGCCGAGGGCGGGAGCGCGCCGTGCCCGAGGAACATCCGCCGATTCAGCGAGGAACGGGGCCACCCCTCGTTCCCCGAACGACAGATGTTCCTCTTCTCTTCCCCGCTTTGTGAAGGCGCCTCGCCGACAGCTGCGCGAGCGCTCTCGGGTATCTCCTTCTCGGGCATTTTTCCCAAGATCGCGCCGCCATCTTCTCGCCCGGCCGGAAGCGCCGTGAACTTTGACTGAAGAATCTGGACCGCCAAGTTTGGCGACGGCCTTGAATCGAAGACGAGCTTCAGCTATCATTCAAAAGCTTCCTAAACCTAATACAATCGTTCACCTTTCCCTTATCAAAACCCTACCTTTGGTATATATAAATCCCTTATGAACATCTTATGATCAGGGTTGGGTAATTTCGTATTTTTCGAGGTTTTTCGCATACATTCCGTAAACCAAGGGGTTTTCCGTAGAAAATCGTAGTAAAGCAGTAAATTACGTTTCCAATATAAAGGATCACATACATGCACGATATAAACGTATTTTAACATGTGAAAACGTAAATATTTATTCCCTTAAGGGGATGTGAAAGTGGCATCCGAAAGCTCGATCGTTCATGAAACTTTTCTACGAACTGGCTGCACCGAATCGTTTCAAACTTAACAACATAAATGTAGAAGCCATAAGGAAGGTGTCGACACCCACATTTCATTTTTCATAAAAAAAAAAAATTTTAAATACCTATAAACAAATTTTAAAAAAATTGAAATTTCATGAGTTTTAGGACCTCTTTTATACTCTTCATATTTATGTTGTAAAGTTTGAATCGATTCGGTACACCCAATTTGAAGAAAAGTTTCTTGAACAGAACTCTTAAACACTACTTTTGCATCACCTTAAGTGTTTCACGTAAAAAAAAAAACCTCAAATGACGCGTCACTGCACAATCCTGGTTATACCTACTAAACCCTGGTTATACATGCTAAACCCTGGTTATACGTACTAAACCCTGGTTATATCCACTAAACCCTGGTTACATCCACCAAACCCTGGTTATACCTACTAAACCCTGGTTATACTTACTAAACCCTGGTTATACCTACTAAACCCTCGTTACATTCACTAAACCCTGGTTAAGGCAGATGCGTAAACCGAGATTTTGCCCGTAAACTCCGTCGCGGCGAACTCGCTAAAGCGCCGGCCGGAACCGGAGGATTCGGCCCGGCGTGACGCGAGTGCAAATAGCTTCGCTCGCTCGAATCCATCGGCATAGCCGATCTTGACTCACCGCTCGCGAATGCCAGCGCGTTCATCAGCAACATCGCCAGGAAGGAAGGCCGCGGGCCCCCTGGTGATCTCCACCGCATTCTCGCTCCTTTCCGCCGGATCTCGCCTCTCGATTTGGCCGTGGCACTTCCTCTCGCCTACCTGAATCGATCACACACAAACGCACACACGTCACGAGACCGTCACTCCCCGTTACTCACCCCGATATGGCACGTAACTATTAAGAAACTCGGTAGAGTTTCGCGCCAAATACATATACATATAGAGGCGCGAAACTCTGACCTAGTCATTATCTGCGGTGTTTAGCCTGGCGCGGCAAACTGGACAGAGAATGTGGTTTTCTGAGCCCCTTGAATGAGTAACGTCAACTTTAACCAGGTCATTGAGATTGGACGATTTTTTCGCGTTTTTTGGGCCTACCAACGAAACTGTCTCGATTAATTCGAGACAGGCCGGCGAAGCCAATTAAGCGGAATTAAAGGGCATGAGAAAGTGGCATCCGAAAGGTCAATACCCTTCGTGAAACGTTTCTGCGAACTCGTGAAATTTCATTCATTTTTCTTTTGTTATAACAAATTTTGAAAATTTTCTATGAACAAGTTTTTCCTTACTTTTGTGTGTGTGTTACATTCGATTTGGAGAAAAGTTTCATGAACGAGACCTCTTTGACGCCACTCTCATGTTACCTTGGAAAGAAAATAATTAAAATACCCAGGTTAATTCCTTCGAAGAAAAGGAAAGGGTAAAGTCAACCTCGCGTGGGAAGCCGAACGACCACGTGACGATCCGATTTACTATCACCGAACGCGAACCGCGTTATCGCTACGCATGGCACGTCCACGCAGGTAAAAATCTGGTGCACCGGCCGGCACGTATAAGCTAGGGCCCCTTTCAAAGTGGGCCCGAAGTCCTTGAGCCTGGAGCGGCATACCTGCCGGGGTTCGCAACACCTGGCGGTAAAATCTCGGGAAATTTCCTCCCGGCCCGTCCCGACTTCTCGACTTCGAAATACTCGAAAATAACAAAGATTCCTAATTCTCGATCGTTGCACCAAGATTGCACTCTCGTTGCTCTGCCCTCGATACGCGTTATTACGTCCTATTACGTCCGTTACCATTTTTCTTGCTTATGAGTAGAATCGCGTAAAAATTTTTCACGGGATTCCACTGGTGTGCGAAAAGATCCGTATGAAATTGAGAATAGGATCACTAGTACTCAATTCTCGAGTTCATACGATGAACGTTGACCCACGAAATTGACAATTTCATACACGAAATTCGAACGTGGACCAGTCGACGTCGCGACAATGCGAAATTTTTCACGGGATTCTATTGGAGTGCGAAAAGATCCGTATGAAATTGAGAATAGGATCACTAGTACTCGATTCCCGAGTTCATATGATGAACATTCGTCCGTGAAATTCACACTTTCGTATACGACTTTTGAACGTGGACCAATCGACGTCGCAGCAATGCGATATTTTTCATGCGATCTATTCTTAATAAAAAAAAAATGAATATGAATTCAATGATAGAATCCCTAGGCGTTTGCAAAGCCATGGATGTTGCGAAGTGAGGTCGCAAGAATTAAACAATGACGGGATTTCGCGACAATGCGATATTTTTCATATGGATCTATTCATACGCGACAAAAATCCGTATGAACTCGATAGTAGAATCCCTGGGTGACACGTGCCCCCGAGTATCCTGGACGTTTGCATACTATCAAGAAATGGATAGAGTTAATACCCGTAGTGGTAGAATCTTTGAGGTTAGAGTCGCGAAAGGTCCATGAACGTCGCGAGGTGAGGCCGGGAGATGAGGCCGGCAAGGTCGGTGGACCTCCTGACGGGAGGAAGAACGTGGAGCTCGGCGGCGTGGGTCGCGGGGGCGTCCGCTGTCACGCCGCGGCGCTCCGGCGCGACGGAGGGTTTATTGATCGGGCCGAGGGCGCCGAACGCGGCGTGGTCATTCGCTTCGGCACGCTCTCGCTTTCGGCGAGCGCGGTGGGCGCTCCGGGAGTCCCACCCGGCGCGGCCCGAGGTCCTCGCCCGCGACCTCGGTCACGACCCGGGCCTTCCTAGACAAGAGAGGAAACTCGATCGCCCCAGGACCCAAACTGGCGGCTCGAGTCCCAGGACGCTGGGACTCTTAAGAAAGCCAAAACTGGCAAAAATCTCCCGTACAATCAAGAAACTCGGTACAGTTTCGAGCCAAATACATTTTCGAGCGAGAAACTCGTTGATAATTTCCACCATGTAATAAGACCGACGAGGTGGAGTCGGTCGATCTTCGAGTCCGATGCGAAAGAAAAAAGAAAAAGTGGTCCAGGAGCGCCGACACGCGGAGGCTTCTCCGCCTGGTCCAAGAAACGATCCGACACTGGACGTTATGAACTTATCGTGGAGACTCGCACCTCGAAGGTACTCGAAGGTGCGTCGAGCGACGCCTACTCCAGGGGAGGTGGACGCTCGGTGAACGCACTGCTCCGGATGGGTAATCGGACTCGAAGAAGGCGCGACCGTACGCGAGGACACTCTCCGCACACCGGGCGACGACAACGACCGACTCGCTCGTCGGCTCGGCTGCGAATGACGGCGAGTGGCGTCGCCCCGCGGTACACCCCTCTCGATGCGAGCATCGACCGCTTCGAGCTCTCGCCGGGAGAGCGCGCGAAATTCGAACGCGTTCGAATCTCCCGCCCAACGGAAGCGCGCGGTACCTCGAAAAGAGAAATTTATAAAAATTAAAAAAATTGTCAAGACTTCTCTGGGAAGTATAGGAATATACGGAAGCGTGTCAAAAGTAGGGTTGGGTAATTTCGCGTTTTTCGAGGTTTTATATTACGTAAACCACGTAGTTTACTGTAGTAAACCAGTAAATTACGATTTCAACGTGAAGCATACCGCAGGTGTACGATGTATGGCATCCACTGGGTTGTAAACGTCTTTTAATACATATGTAAACAAGTAAATACTTTTGAGGGATATTAAATTAATTCAGGGAGGGTGTTCAAAATTCTTTAGGACTTTACGTTCCCAATATGGCGGATACCGGGAATGCACGCCATATGTTTCCGCCAGGTAATAAACGTCTTTTAGCGCATACGTAGCACGTAAATATTTGTAAGGAATAATTAATTTGGCGCTTGTTTAAAATTATTTCTACTTAACCCTGTTTAATATCAAATTCCTAGCTGGATGTATTATGTCCTATTTAGAATTAGAAGGGCGTAATATCCTTCGCACTTGCGCAGAAAACTAGGGACGTGCTGTACGTGTTAAACGCGTAGAAATTCACGTATATTACGTGACGGATTACATCTACCCAACCTTTGTCAAAGGGCAGGAGAGTTATAGGGAACCGGCGTAGAAAAAGGAAGGGGATTCGTGACTCACGCATACGTGATGATGCTCCGATTACGCATACCTGGATGAATCCTCGGAACATGGCGCTCATTGTTCCCAAAGACGAGGACGCGATTTCGAGGAAGACTCGGGAAAGCAACCGTTGACGATTGAAAAAGTTATCCTCTATTTGTATTTACAGTGAGCGGAATAATATGCAAAGTCGGAGATGCGAGTCCTGGCGTCGTAGGGGTACATGAAAACGTAGACTCTCTATCCTACGCCTGTAAAAATGCGTGTACGCGTATTGTACAAGAAATTGTCTAGAAAATATCGCCGCGATAAAGGATCTGTATCTTACACCTTCGTCGATACAAATGTACAGGATCGGCCGCGAGCACTGATCAAGAAATGCAATTCGCGCTGATTGTGCGAACGAACTCTTTAACGTACGTAAATCCTCTAATAACGCCAACGAAAGATGTCAAAGGCATACGCTTAATGCCCGGAAAGATTTAAGTACTGGAACGTGCGAAGTATCACCTGATGGCGGATATCCGAGTGTTAAAAAAATAATAAGACGGTGAGTTTGCACTTAGGCGACGTTTCGCATAGAAATCGTGACTCGTCCACCAAACTCTCGGTCGGCCTGTCTTTTTAAAGCATGGAATTCGAGTCTAGAGCTTATGCTACTTCAACACTGCATGCTACTGAACAGAAGCGTCAGCAGTTCAGGTTGCGTGAGATTCCGTTTATACTTTTGTACCATTTCCTGGATCTTCAGTCGTCTGCGTACGTGCGGCGGGTGGTAACTGCGGAGGAGAATGAAGCGTTCCTTAGATAAGAGCTAGGCAAGGATTGCCCGTTAGGAAACGGTCATAATTGTAAAAATCCTCAATCTTTCACCTATCGTTTTCAAGCCTTCTCCTGCGAGCCATGTTCAGCGCCGTCTGCCTGACCAACGTCCCCAGCACTCTTCTGGAAACGACCATGCCGTCTACCAAAGGAGACGCCAGGTTGATCCTGGATACCGGGCCTTGCAGTCTGACCCTCATCAGGCCACTGGCCAAGGACTGCAGAAATATCACCTGGACATCCGAGGGTCGTAGGGTACTCGAATGTTCCAAACCCGTGTGCGTGCAAGGTAATACCGCGGCTAAAAGCAAGCATCAAACGTTTAGATACCACGAGGAGCTGACCCTAGAACATGGATCCAGCATTATCAGGACGGCCATACCGATGGGGAACTGAAGATGATCCTCCAAGCTCTCTAGCCAAACCACCATGATCCTCGTATCGACTTGCAGAGGCACGGAATGCTTCGTCGACCTCCTTGGTCTGACCGGATCACTGTTGGACTGCGTACTCGGTGGACCCGACCCAGCCAAGCTGGAAGGTTGCTTGTCTAGGTCTAGAGACATGGTCCTGGAACTCTGGATAACCGACTGCGAGACCGAGCAGGACCTGCTGCTGGTGCACTCACTGATGCTTCGCTCGAACCACACTGAAAAACCGAAACAAACCCGTCTTTCAACGTCCTCGGCTGAGTCTTTAAGGTCTACTCGCGAGGACGATGATCCTCTTTCTCACCCTGGCCACTGCCGGTGTCACTGCCATAAGTACTGTCATCCATGGAGTCGGAGATCAGCGGCCCCGTGGGTTGGGTGGGCACCACGAAAGCGATCTCCGAGCTTTCATCCGCCCAATACAAGGCATGGGTTTCGCCGTTATAAAGCGAACCGCCATGGTCGGAGGCGAAGCGAACGGGATGCGAGCCAGGAGGTTGCTGACACGTCGTCCTCCAGGATGTGGAGGCATGGCCGGTCCAGCCGGCATGGGTGGCCACGGAGATTGGCCATCCCAGGGAGTTCAGGAACTCCAGGAACTCAGGACAGACGTTGGACGCGTACATCTAGAGGCAACGTAAAGTTCCACGTAGAAAATAAAAAAGAATATAACATAATATCCCGAAAAGAAGTTCCTTACCACGTTGGACAGGATCTCCTCGGCGTGCTTTTGGCCAGCCTTGACGTAAAAAATGTGTACGGTGTCGCAGGTCCTGGAGCTGATGCGATCCAGGCACTCCAGGTCGGCGCAGAATCCCGGGATGACGGGGTCCAACGCGATGAGGCCGCTCGCTCCGGAATCCTCGTTCTTTTTCGAGTCCAGATTCAGGAAGCCGAAGTGGCTCAAGAAGAGCCTCGCCGTTTGGAACTCGTGGCAGATCTTGGGAGGGAGGCACTCCTCTATCCTATCCTCGGAGTTTCGATCCGAGCCGCGGTCGGACGTGATCGACTCGAGGCTTATCTGCCGATCGAGCAGCTGGGAGAGCACTCGGTGCTCCTTCTTCGTGGCCTCGTTGTCGTTCATCACGGCCTCCAAGCTCGGTATCGATTCATCCCTACGGCAAGAAGGTCAATTGGGAATTACCTCATCTGCGGAGTCTAAAAAGAGGAGTAGCCAATTTCAACGTACACCTTGCAGCGCGGAATCCTGTCCACGTTTTCAGGGAAGAACTTCGGCTTGTACTCCGTACGTGGCTCTGGCTCGGCTAGGGGTAGAGGTCTTCCAGGATTGGCGTTGAGGACGCTCCTAGCGCTGGACCTGTGTCTCGGGAGATGTCGAAGCTGCATGATCCAGGCGTGTCTGCCGAACGACCCTCGCACCAGGACGGTCACCATCGGTTGAGGATCCTCGTCACTTCCGAGAGGCTCCTCCAACAGGGCCAACATTGTCGCGTTCTCTGCCACGAAATACCGGAAACGTTCCAGGGCAATCTGCCGAGCGATCCGTCCACCTCCTAGCCAGCTGTTGCATTGGCGCACCAAAGAGACCTCGTCGAGCAACGACGAAAGCGACTGCGCCCCACAGGCACTAGGAAAATATCCGACCTGCACGTCCCAACGCATTCATGTATTAAAAATAACATCACGACCCTTTTCAAGGGTTTATTCTCAATATTTTTTATTCCACCAGGTACCTGCTCCAGGATAATCGTCAGCAGAGCGTCCGCCGCATCGCGCACCCTCATGGAGGCCGGCTTGAGCTCTTTCTCGTCCTTCATCTTAATCGGTTCCCCAGGTTTTCCGATGCTCTTCGTCCCGGACACCCCCAGCTCCACGACCTCTAAAACCGTCGTTAGGCAGTCCTTGTCCTGTAGAAGCTGTGGATGGGCGGTCAACCAGGTGGTCAAGCAGCCGAAAGCCGCAACGATGGAGGAGTGCAGATCCTTGGAGTGAGCCGGAGGTGGCCGCCAGCATTGCGAAGCAATGTAATCGCACAACCACTTGACGGCTCTTTTACACTCCAAGGCGTCTGGAAACAGGTGGATACCTTATGGTAAAATGTAGGTAAATAATAAATATCCACGCAGGATTTACCTGTCTCCTGAATCCGCGTCCTTGCCAGGCCGGACAGCGTCTCGAGGGCTGCCAGGGAGACGTTGAGGTCGGTCTTCCAAGAGGAGATCAGTCGGTGGCAAACTAAGTACGTCGCTCGCACGAACAATGCGTGGGCGGAATCTGAAACGCAGGCATCGAGCGAATCAACGACTCCGGTATAAATGGCGTCGCGAGTTTGAACGTCGTCTAAATAATTCTACTTGCATGCCGAGCATCGAGCCACGTGGCAAGTGGCCGACTCAATTCTACGGCGCTTATGTACAAGTACGGTACAAGGATTGATTAAATTCGAGTATTTACCAAAAGCAACGCTATCCTCTTGAAGGGTCGCGATATCGGATGCATCGCCGAGCGAGCGGAGATCACTGGAAATGCTTATCTGACTGGCTGAATCGCTGGTGACTATCAAGCGATGGCGGCGCGGTACAATGGCGGATGCACAACGGAACACAACCCCAAAAAGAAATAGAAAAAACGGCCACATCACAGAAGCACGTGGAAGCAGCAAATATGAATGGAAAGTGGCGACGGTTATAAGTATATAAATATGTAAATATATAAATACAAGTGTACACGTAGATGTAAATAGATTGAAAAAATCAAAAGACCGCTACGGCGGTTGAACGCTTTACTCTTGGCGGCGCTGTCTCCTGCCTAAAGCAACAAGCCTAACGCGGCGTCTTGCGAGCCATACGCTACAAAGTAGACGTATCGCGAGCAAACGCGACGATGGCACGGATCGACGGCGATTAATCTGAGCGGTCGCTCGAAAGGTATACCTGAAGACAGCAAATTATTCGCCGAATCGTTGCTCGCCGGGTCGGGCTGAGTCACTTGATCCAGCTCTTCGGCCGCTGCCGAGTCCTGCACGCTCAGCAGTAACCCACCTGTTGATCGTAGGGGGAAAATAAATTATCAATTATGACGTAAAACTGGAAACGAGTCTCAATCAGCTTCTTGTACTTTGAGCTGAACCGCGTTTTCTCCCACCAGGGATGTTTCTTTGGGTCGATGCGAACGTACCCAGCAACATGTGCGTGTTCTGTGGATCGACTTCCACCTGCAGAGAGTTGATCAGCAGATTCATAAGCCTCGGTTTCAGCTGGCCGAAAGTGATCTGGCTCTTCTCCTGGCTAATGGCGGACAACATCGTGGGCAGTTCCCTGATGGTTAGATTCTGTAGTAGAAGGAACCGCTTATATCTTACTCGGATGGCCGAACGACGAGGTCGATGGAGGTCCGACCGTGACCGTCCTCACCTGAAAGTGCAGCGGCAGCGTCAGCATGGAGAGCAACAGGTGGATGGAGGCCCTTCTCAGCTCGACCTTCGACACCGCGTTGGACCTCAGCTTGAGGTCCTTCTCCGGAAGGACCGCCTCCAAGGCTACCAAGACCGCAGGCACGAGGACTTGTATTCCATCCAGGTCGAGCCGGAACAGGTCGGCCGAGTTCACCAGAATACTGGCCAGCGTCTCGCCGCACTCCCTCGACTGCAGGAAAAAACGTCGACGAATCTGACTTGGGCTGAGAATAGTCGACGAGCAGGGAGACGTACCTCGTCGACCTTCAGGCCGTGGAACATAGCCTGGTAGAATCTGGCCAGGTACACGGGAAGGATCTCTTCGCCCGTCTTCTTTGCGGAAAAAATCCTGCACAGCGCCCCCATCGCCTCGGCTCGACCCGACTCGTACCGGTCGATGTTCAAGGAGGCTGGGATCTCGCTGACGGTCTCCTGCAAAGAGCTGGGCCCGTCGACGAGCACCGACGATGGACGCTTCGACGTTCCGGATGGCTCTGAAGGAACGACTCTCTTCGTCGATCTACTTCTTCCAGAGAGTGATTCGCAAGACGTAGACTTACGTGGCAGGTTCTGAGACCACCCATCCGTTCCTATGAAAGCAGCCTCGAAGAGCCATTCCCCGAAGAGATGCAGAATACTGTTGCACTTTGGTCGTCCAGGTGCCAGGGGCGGCCTGACATCCTGGCCGAGGGACGTAACGGCTGAAACCATCAGCCAGGATCGAATACCGTCTTCAACATCGAGGAACTCTATCGGAAATATCGTAAATAGCGTTCTTCAACGGTGCTTACATGTACTGCTGGACACCGAGGAGGGTCCAGAGCTAGGCGAGGGCACCGGAGGGTTGCTGGAGGCCCGGCTGCTCGTCAACCCTATCAAGGAGGCTTTCGGTATCCCTGTTAAATGGAAACACAGTTGAACTCCAGGAATGCACTCGGATTGATTCCTATCTTTGCGAGCGTAAAAGAGTATCTACGAGATTTCGGGTGCTGAGAAAATTCCCTTATAGGAGGAAGAGTGAAAGAGGTGCGCCTCGGTATCTACCCTTAGTGACGGCGGAAGGTGTAACGCTGAAGCTCTTGGCGAGTCTGCGCTGTGTCGGGGGTGTAGGGGAGGATTGCGGCTGGTCTCTTCCGCCCATCCTGTCCCCCGCCACACCCCCGCCGACGCCGGCTCCAGGAGTAAAGCTTGTTAGGCAACACTCCTCCCAACAGCACGTCTGTGAAACCCCTGAAACATTTTACATCCGCATGCAGCCACCACCCGCACAAGGACGAGGCAAGAGCTGTGCCACGGTTCTCTCTACGAGGTGCCGATCGAAAGAACGGAGACCCGCGGGGAACCTCGCCATCGACTTACCGAGAAAGGCATCGACTTGCCCGGCGATGCCTTTGATGGCTTTTAAGAATATCTGCGGCAAGTTCTGTAGACATGGATGCTGACAGGGATCTACCACGTTCGGACTGGCGATTGCGTATCGCAGAAACGCCTGCGTCTGCGAAATCACAGCTGGTCTGCATAGATCTACCGGATCACCGACTGTACGCAGCAGTCTGTACCATGCCTGGGTGATTGCTTCGTCCGACATTGTCAGTGGTGCCAATTGTACGTCTTCTTCACCTTGAAATCATGTATTAGGATGTATTACGAGGAATTACTCATCACCTGTATTTGTGCACGAAGTGTAATCTAAGTTGACGGAGTAATTTATAAAATAAAAGTGTATCTACGTACTTATTTTTAATTCTGGGAAAGTTGGACCGTACATGATTTGCAGTAATCTAGCAGTCAACGCCAAACACACGCGATTCCACTGCTCGATCAGTGCTAACCGGTGACGCCATCGAAGACAGGACTCTCTAAGCGTTCGCCACAAAGGTGGCGAGGGAAAATTGCGTTCACAGGCCACAAGCCACACCTACCAGATATAACGTACTTGTAGGTTTAAATAAATGATGGGCGTGGAATTTAGAGCATATAGTTTACCTCCAATAACACACCAAGAACTCTCTCGCAGAGTTGTTCACCGGCATCTTCTCTAACTGCGGGTGGCGATAATAATGCATCGTTAATTCCTATTAAAAATATCAGCAAACTTTCCCATGTTTCTCGCTCTAAGATCACAGGTCCTCTTGCTACTTGCTGTAACGTTCTCAACACTCTGTGACAAAGAACGGCTTGCCTGTTAATTGTATCGGCACCTGAGAAAAAGAATATCGATTCTATATTGCTTTATAAAATAAATCAGAGGTTTGTATCTACTGTACCATGTAGAACGTTAACAAAGAAAAATTTGCAAGGTATTATTACCTAGATCCTGATATATAAATGGCCATGCTAGGAACAAGAGATTAGTTTAAATAGATAACTTAATGTACACGATAACACTTTTTAATGAAAATCCAGAGAATACAATTAATGAAACTTCTAGTTTTACCTTCTCCTTTTCGTGGGACGAATAAATTGTGAAAGTGTCCAATGATTTTTCGGGCGTAGAAATTAGGATCTTCTATAATCGGTCTCGGGACAGAGACTTTTGGTGTAGAGTAAAGAGCGGACAGCCACTCGCAGTAAACGTTGACACAGTCTCTAACCGTATCGTGTTCGGCCAATGGTAAAGACAATCCATAACATATAACTTCCATGCACCATTGGACCTCTTTATCCGCATTAAGCGGGCTAGGTTCAGCTGCGCGAGCGATACCAAGATTGGCAGCAAGCTGACGGACTATGGACAGGGCAACCTCGCGTCCAGCACCTTGAGGAAACTTTTCCAATACGCTTTGACTTCCTGCAGAACCTTGCTGGACCAGGCCACTTAAGGAGGCCCATTCGGAATACATCCCTCCTCCGGAGTCCTGACGAATGCGAGTCTTCATGAGTACCATAACCTAGTTACCTCTAATCAACAACTGTCGTAGCACCACCGCCAGCTAACTTGTCGGGGAGTTGCATTTCATACTCTCTACGTACATGGAGAAATATAATTCTGCAGTTACCTTTAGATTGACTCTGTTGAATACGCCTAAATTCATAGATTATCATGCGCGTACACGTCGTACGATTCGATATATCAAGGAGACACCGACGAGCTTCGCCGGGGGTGTTTATGATTCGATGACGACGACTAACCTCCCAGCACGCCTCCGACTCGTTGACATTCGAATGCGAGCGAGTGAAAGGTAGACATGCGTAACCTGATGTGTCGCGTGGCTGGAAATATTTAACCGCGTTTACTGTGCCACGACTACCTCTTTCGTAGATTTAATACAAACGCTCCGTCGATACTTCATGCAATACGGCGCGAAATTTTGTATAAACTTTTTGATGACGCGAACACGCATCGAATCATCGGTTCGCATCGAGCCGAAACAACTTGAAACAAGCTGTGACGATCTGTCAGAATCTGTCACAAATCACAATCAACATCCCCTTCTAGAGTTGGGCAAGTAAGATACCCTAGGTAATTTTCGTGGTTATGTTACAACAGAGAGAAGATGAGAGTAGCCAGGCCCAAGGGGACACAACAGAGATGAGTTGGGAGATTGCTTACGGGCAGGATGGTGAGATCACATTCTGTGCTGCCCTCTGGTTTCGTACGTTAGCTTTCACTGTTTTTTGCCCCCAAGGGCGACGCAACGAATTTCTGATAGGAGCTCGCGTAATCGCAATGGCGGTACCATCTACCAGTCACCATTGGCGGCTCACGTACTCGTGATGGTAATACCATGCGGCAGTTGACGGTGGTGGGTTACCTACGTTTACCGAACTGCTCGCTTTTGATGGTAAGGGAAGAACACTCGTGACGCTTCATTTGACTTTATCTACTTATCTACTACTATTAAGTACATTGTTGCCGCGAAGTCGACGTGATGTGGAGCTTTGGGGCACGCGTCGGTGTGTCGCGTACGGAACTCTCATGCAGCGAATCTGTGTGAGTTGCGATCGCTCCTAGAAATCTTCGCGCGTCCCAACCAGCCAAGCGCCAAGCTACGGGTCGAGACGTTGAGTATGTGTGCGTGCGGCGCTACACTCGCCAAGTGTGCGTGAGAGTCGAACACTGCGAAAAATCCTCCCGAGGCTTACCTAACTGTGGATATAAGCCGAGATATTTCGTGTATGATTTTTACATTTCCCTACTAGCGTTATTGAGCGTTTCCAAGCGTTTCGAGAGCGTTTATGAAGGTTTTCGGGCGTTATCGAGCATTTTTCAAGTATTTTCGAGCCTTATCGAAGGCCGTGCAGTGCCGTTGCGTGTTGTTAAGTGCAGTACAGTGTCGGAGAGTTGCCGAAGAGTACCGGAGAGTGCCGGATACTCGCTCTAGATACTCCTAAAAACTCTCGATAACGCTAGTAGGGAAATGTGAAAATCATGCGCGAAATAACTCGGCTTATATCCGCAGTTAGGTAAGCCTCGAGAGGATTTTTCGCAGTTTTCGAGTCTCCCGGATACTTGTCGAATGTAGCGCCGCACGCACACATATTCAACTTCTCGACCCGTAGCTTGGCGCTTGGCTGGTTGGGATGCGCGAAGATTTCTAGGAGCGATCGAACTCACACAGATTCGCTGCATGAGAGTTCCGTACGCGACACACCGACGCGTGCCCCAAAGCTCCACATCACGTCGACTTCGCGGCAACAATGTACTTAATAGTAGTAGATAAGTAGATAAAGTCAAATGAAGCGTCACGAGTGTTCTTCCCTTACCATCAAAAGCGAGCAGTTCGGTAAACGTAGGTAACCCACCACCGTCAACTGCCGCATGGTATTACCATCACGAGTACGTGAGCCGCCAATGGCGACTGGTAGTTGGTACCGCCATCGCGAGTGCGCGAGCTTCTATCAGAAATTCGTTGCACCGCCCTTGAAGGCAAAAATCGGTGAAAGCTAACGTACGAAACCAGTGGGCAGCACAAGATGCGATCGCACGATCCTGCCCGTAAGCAATCTCCCAACTCATCTTTGCTGCAACAAATTAACAGAGATGATATTAATCTAGGCCAAAATAACAAGTTAACACTTTCCGCAGAAGCCGTCAGATGGCAGAAACGTCGTTTAGCACGGACGAACTCCTTGATACATGTCAACTCCGAACGTTACCTACATATTCGAGGAATCTTTTTTTCCCGTTGCATTCGCTAGGTGATAGAGATGAAACTCAAGCCATGGACACTCTATGTTATTCTTTAACATGCTCAAAGCATTTGAAAATGACACATTTCAGGAGCTTCTCTTGTTATCAGGGATCTCTGTTGTTATATACCACGTGCGCACTTTGCACGGTTTTGCTCATGTTTACGCTACGATACGCAATATTCATGAAATGGAACTAAATTAATTTCTTGACGAAAAATTACATAGGAGAGAAGTAATCATGAATACTCAATGGAAAACATATCTGTTGTGGTTTGCACATGAACACGTTGATTTTAGAGTTGCCGTAAGTTCATGGTTCATCTGTCAATGGAGTAAGTAATTATAGATGTAATTTTTCATAGAAAAATGGTTTCAATAATTTCAGGAGATCGATTCGATTCTAGACATGCTTAATATAAACTTGAGAGCACAAACGAAGCCTGAAGATCATGTAAGTTGACTATTAACGTTGAATATTTGTATCGATGTTCAGTATTTTTATTACCATAATATGTAATCCTAATATGCTCATTTTCAGCCATACTGGATAATCGAGGTACCGTCGGAAAGTGTAGTTCATGAAATCGCTCGCAGATCCGTGACGCTTCGTTTTTGTCTTGAATTGTGGGCTGATGGTCAGGGTTTTGAAGAATTTCATGACAACCTTAGGTTGTATTCTGGAGAAAACATTAAAGTTCACATTAATCCAGATAAATCGTTCAGAATCACGGTTGAAACGTTTTGCAAACATTTCACTCAACAGCAGAAAGTAGAAAAAATAGAAGTAAGTTTGATAAGTATTACATTAAACAGTATTTATTAATTTCATCGCTATTAATCCATTTGCCATTTATAACAGAGTTTTAATTATCTACCATTGGATGGTCCTGTTAACTTGAAAAATCCAGATACATCCTTGTTTTATATAGAATATTATGGACTGGATCCAAATGCAATTCCAGAGAATCCCTGTGGACTGTTTTTTGGGAGATGGGTAAGATAAAGGAAAACATTCAAATTCTATGTAAAGAATAGTTGTCATAAAAAGTATTTTCAAGATCACAGATGGTCAAAGGGAACTGATTCAAAAATTGTCACTCAAGACTCGGAAGTTCATTGGTAATACAAGTATGGATCCCCAACTGTCATTAATAATGGCAAACCAGGCACAAGTTAAAGAAGGAGACATGGTACTAGACCCATTTGTTGGCACTGGATCTCTTTTAGTCGCCGCGTCACAGTTTGGGGGCTATACCCTTGGAACGGACATAGATTACTTAATGCTGCACGGAAGAACCAGACCCAGTCGAATAAAACAAAAGGTAAACGATTTAATCAATGTATACACAAATACACCGTTTCAAAAATTGATTTTACACCTGTTTTAACCATTAGGCACGCAGTGAGGGTGAATGCGTAGCCATGAATATTAATCAATATGGAAAAGGTTCCCACTATATAGATGTATTAGTTGCCGACTTCTCCTTACCACTGTGGAAATCTGACATGCGTGTAGATTCAATCATCACTGATCGTGAGTCGATTCTCTCTTACAAGTATACAGTATTATTGTGGGTATAAGTATAGATTTTTACATTCAGCGCCTTATGGTATAAGAGAAGCTACGGAACGTTTAGGATCGATAAAAATAAATCCTGTAATAGAAGGACACCAGGTGGCCACACACATCCCATCTAAAGTAGAATACGGTTTACCACAGTTATACAGAGATTTGCTAAGTTTTTCTGCAAAACATCTTAAGATCAATGGCCGGTTGGTATGTTGGTTTCCTGTATTTAGGTAGGCCTACTTATGCTCTCATATAAAAAAAAAGAATGTTCCTCTTGTAAAACTAATAAATTGTACTGATATAAGAATATGTATTTTGCAGGGAACATTATTCAGAGGACCAACTGCCTCAACATTCATGCTTATCATTAATAGCCAATTCGGAACAAGTACTCAGCAATTACACCAGTCGCAGACTATTGACTTATAGAAAATTAAGAGAACCCCAGGTTTGAATATATGAATACATTGGTTTAAGGGATCAGATTGGTTCGATTCGACACTAATTTCATAATTCGCATCATTTATTTAAACAGGATTCAGATAATACATTCATTATGAATGTAACCGACTTTCGAGAAAAATATTTTGGCTTAAGGGACGAGTCACGAAAAGAGAGACGAATGAAGAGAGCAGATGAGAGACTGAGGAATAAAACTATGTGGGAGTTGAGTAAAAAGGACACCGCGAGGTGACCATACATCCTTTTAAATTGTAAACTTATAATTATTTCATAATTTGTCCATGCATAAAACATTTCAAATGTATTATCGTAAGTGAAGAGCGATTCAGGATATCCACAAGATAAACTCTAATTGTTAAACCAAAAGTTTGGGATAATATTTTACAAATGTACAGTTTCAAATCTCTCTCAGTGGAATGTTATTCATTAATTAATAATCTGTTATTCTTTGATAAACATGTACATAAGTAATGTCTACTTCGTGATACCGGCTCAAGTATTCGGTTGAAGAAGTGTAAAACGTGAATACACTGCATTTACATGTATTGCAACATTCAGACAAATATACAAATTATTACCTAGTGTTCGTAAATATTTACTAAATCTTCAGTTGTACCCTAACCTTCAAGCTGCAATTGTCCTAACAAGCCTTCTATGCTTTTAAGGTCTTCGTTTGAGACCTTCTCCCTGTAGTGCTTCTCAATTTGATTGGCTGCCCATTCGGCAAGCTTTACTGCCTGCTTCTTCTTATTTGGTGGGCATTTTGACGTTGAAGCAATATTATTCGCCGACTACAAATATTGAAACGTATCGTTAAGGTGTAATCACTGTTTGATTCATATTGACGCAATGAACTTACCAGTAATAATCCATAAAGTGCACGGACGTTATTTGGATTTAATTTTATCGCCTGACAGAAATATGTCTTGGCAATATCAATATTTGCTAACCCTCCCTGCAAATAAGAATTTCTTAGTTACTAACTCTAACATCTAAAATATTTCAAGTTAATACAAACTTACCTCAGAATATCTTATTTCGGCGTATCTCTGATGAATTAAGTGACTATGTGGATTATGCAAAATGAGTTCTTGCATACAAAATGCTGCTTTTGAGTAATCATGTTCTTGTAAATATAAATCACATAGTTCGTGCCATGCTTCTTGATCGCTCACAAATCTGGAAAAATAAAGTTAAAGCCCTGCTAGATCTAATTCAATAAAATTAAATTCATGTACCCTAGCCTGGACATTTAAATATTTCCCAGGTTAGTAGAACAAAGCGTGCTAGGTAATCATTACAAGTACGAGTTATTAAAGAGGTATGTTAAAAAATGTATAGTGTCAAAAAACAATGCCTAAGGCTTTAATCAGATATTCTCAGGCTTGATGCAAAAGCATAAGGAACATAACTAACATTTTTAGATAATCCGTGAGTTCTTTAATGGCTTCTGGTATTCGACCTTTAGCTTTTAAAATAGCTATTCGCCGTTTCCTTGGAGCTGTATTAGTTTCATCCCTTTTAATAATTGAATCCAGTACTTCTAAGGCTTCATCAAACCTAAGGACATGAAATCATTACAATTTATGCCGGTTCATTTCCTATTATCAGAAATATTGTAATAAACGTTACATTTCAAGGGCTTCCAAGTGCATCGCATGGTATTTATGTACTCTTAGACTTCCAGGGAATTTTCTCATTAGTAGTTTTATACAGAATTCTGCCAATAATAACTGGCAGCAATCAAGTGCTGCGACGCAGACTTGTTCCAATACCAAATACTCTAAAAACATAAAATTCACAGCATCACGTTCATTACAGATACCATTTCGAAAATACAGGATATACTTAATAATCATACTTTCATTTCCAAGTTGATCCATTTTCAGCATTAATACATTTTCCCACAAATCAACGACATCTTTACTTCTACGTTCGGATTCTTCTCGCCATGTTCTGAAGAGGTCACGAACCTCTAAATTGAAAATATAAGAAACACCATGACTCGACCCATATTTTAATCAGTCAATTCAACTATACTACGTGTCGCAGGTACACTAATAATCAACAACTACAAGTTTCAATTTTGTCTCAACAAATCGATCGTAAATATATTAGCAATATCCAACTCACCCGTCCATAACATTTTGTCATAATTCCATGCCATTACTATTTATTCAAGGAGTGTAAAATAAAGTAAATAAATCAAACCAAAGGCTGACACGGAGGTATTTATCGACGCCGTTTGAGGTTAGGTTCTAGGAGTGGCAGGAGGAGTCCGCATTATCAACAGAGTGCGATCAGGAAAATGTTTACGCCTCGGCCTTTTAAACCATGTCGTGGGGATTTAAATGGCTGCTAAGGTACGCTCCAAAGGGTTAAATTTTGTTTTTGCAAACCCTGGCAACTGTATCAAAACACAACAATAAACACTGATAAACCCTTTTCCCGAAAAACTCGTCGTCGAATATAATCATTCAATATTATTGAGGGTGAATGTCCTATCTAGTATCACTGTCCATCTTTCCTCTTTCTGTTGATAAGAACAGGGTTGTTAAGTAAAATACCCCAGATAATGTATTTCAGAGATGAGCTGGGACATTGCTCATGGGCAGGGTCACGCGATCCATCTTGTGCTGCCCCCTGGTTTCGTACGTCGGCTTTCACCGTTTTTTGCCCCCCATTTGCGGATAAAATCAGAGATGAGCATCTTTGATAAAATAGTTGGTTAAAATTTATAAAAGTGTTGGTAAGCGTAGGTAAGCCACTACCGTCAACAGTCGCATGGTATTATCATAACGAGTACGTGAGCCGCCAACGGCGACTGGTAGACGGCACCGCCATCACGAATGCGCGAGCCCCTACCAGAAATTCGTTGCGCCGCCCTTGGGGGCAAAAAACGGTGAAAGCTAACGTACGACACCAGAAAGCAGCACAGGATGCGATCGCACGACCCTGCCCGCGAGCAATCTCCCAACTCATCTCTGTCTCCCAACTCATCTCTGATATTTATATCCCGAGATTTATAAATTTATGATTATGGGATCTTAGTTTTGTCCGCCAAATGGCAGATGGCAGAATGTTAGAATAGTCACGAAACGTGGACTGCAAGCACTCTCTGCTATTTTCTGTCTCCATGCTCCGCAATTAGTTATCGAAACACTCGGTAGAGCCGTTTCGGAAGCTCTTTGGAACGTGCGATTTTAATGATTCAAGCACGACTTGTCCGTCGGAGCTAGAGAAATGATTGATCTACGAGATGATAATTCAAAGAATTCCTCTCCGGCCTACGGTAGGAGAAACGACAGCACGAACGTACCGGGTGAGTTGTCGAGACAGATTTTTCATTATCCGATAGAGACTCTACTCCAAATGTATCCAACTTCCCTCAATTCTTCATCGCATTGGGGTGTCGGTATTTCGTTCTAATACCTTAAAATAATCCAATCCATTATGTAACAGTCTTGCGCAATTATCTCACGACTGGTCCGTGCATAAAAACAATACCTAGTAAAGGTTTTTCGGGACATCTTAAACATAACCTCACTTTCGCAAACGTGCCGTATCACATTGCGGTCGCGGAATCACGTGCGATCGATATCCTCGTATTCATTGAACTGTTTCATGGTTGTATTTTGTTTATCAGTAAAAAGTCATTAAGTTTAAATCACATATGTGTCGACGGATCTAGAGGTTTGTGTTGAGTCACATTTTGTATAATTTTTGTCTAGTAAGTAAATAAAGTATTTAGATTATCAATTGGACAGGTCCAAGTGGTTAGTAAACGTACAAGTATGGTTGACTTCGGGAATAATGATGAAAAAAACATGAAAGGTGTGATGACTTCAGGAAGTACCATTTCTGATCATATATACATTTTATCGAGGTTACGTTATCTTCTACAGTGACATCTCAGCGAGGTCTGGCGCCACTTAGTCCATACCTCAACTTTGACCCATCGTACCTGCCAGCCACTCAACCGGAGTTCATATTTCCTGAAGGAGCAGTGAAACAGCGAGGGAGATTCGAATTAGCTTTTAGTCAAATAGGAGCAGCATGTATGCTCGGTGCTGGAGTAGGTGGTGCGACTGGATTTTACAGAGGTCTAAAGGCGACGACGCTAGCTGGTCAAACAGGAAAGCTTAGACGGACACAGTGAGTTTTGGCTTGGCTTTGTTTAACTATTGTCATAAATTTTATGGCATCATGGAACAAGTGACGAACCCTTCTAATTGTATGTAATTTATGTACTTTTTGTGCATAGATTGATTAATCACATGATGAAGAATGGCTCATCACTTGCAAACACTCTTGGAGTTGTCACAGTCATGTACAGTGGATTCGGCGTTGTTCTCTCATGGGTGAGAGGGACGGACGACTTTCTTAATACTTTGGCAGCGGCGACGGCAACTGGCATGCTATTTAAATCTACAGGTTCACATTTATTTTTTCTTCCAACCTGTGATACTTTATCTCACTAGAAGTATTTATTATTAAATATATGTCTTTTGTAGCTGGTCTCCGCAAGTGTGCTCTTGGTGGTGGAATTGGATTTGGAATTGCTTCGCTCTACTGTCTATGGAACAATCGAGAAGCCATCTCACAGTTGAGGCATCACAGCATAAATCCAGCGTAAGACTGTGTGTGTACCAGCAGCACCTTTAGACAAACTTTGTTTGATTCGAAAGCTCCTACTCCGATAGCTGAATTTTGTACATTCTAATACAACTTGTTATCGATTGAAATTTTGGATGATCGATGTCTACGATAGTCATATCGGTATATGATCGTAACTTTTCGTTTGAGATGTAGCATCGTTTGCTCTTCTTTCATATTCTCCTTATATTTGTCACTCTTTTTTGTTATATTATTTAATATATCCTTGAGTGTCCTAAGTTGGTTGGCAGCACAATTATCATAATCGGAGCAGGAACATCGATGTACTTTCCTAACACAGGAGCCAATTTCTATGACAAAACCATCTGTCGTGAACGGTTAACGTATGTAAATTTATGTAAAGTTACCATGTTATATATTTACGTTTAATCGGTGTCACGTCATACCGTGTGTTATTGCAGCACGTGGCTAGATAATCGAAGGATTGGATTTGTGGCAATATGTCCGATGTCTGTATTTCGATTGCGTTTTCAGCTACAGATAGTAATACAAGAGACCGTTATATTGTCCTTAATAATCATTATAGAAAAATTAGAGACGCTTAGATATTTGGTTCCACGTTTAACTTTGAAAAAAAAAAGAAATTGTTTTATCTCTCGATATCCTTCAATAAGACACGGGGAAAGTATTTATTGCATTCACCAAATGAAGTACCACCAACGATGAAACGATAATAGTAATCGTAACTCGCAGTCCATGCTTACCTACCGTTACCCCCTAAGCGATTGTATTTAGATTAAAAATAAATGATTTTGTAATAAATTGGCTCCTACTTAATGTCCTTCCTCGAGTTTCATTCCCCTCCTACAGGTCATTGTAAAGTTGCAATCAATCAGACTTTTATTAGATTTTGAGATAATGTCACTGACAATTAAACGTCGTTCTCTTCCAGATCTAAATGACGACCAGCACTAGTGTGGACTAGCAACGAAATTTGTCTGCCTTGTACATAGAAAATTCCAAGATGGATCGTAAGACGAAACCTTTATCTATATAAGTTACAAAGTGTATCGGAAATAAAGAAATTTTAATAGCGATGCAGCTCCTAGCTAAGGGCTCGTTATGATTTTAGTTAAGCAAAGAACTGTAATTCGATAACATGTTAAGGCAATACGAAAGAATCATTTTATATATATATACAACGTTAAAATATTTATAAAACTATTCTCCTTAGGGTGTCTATAATCACGTGCTAAAGTTTTGAATTATTTGATGCGCCCAATTTGGAGAAAATTTTTTAAGAAAAAAAAATATAAATATTTTCACGTTATATATATATATATAAGGCCCCCTTTCAGATCACCTTAAGTCATTTTTTTTTGTAAGTGAACGGTTTAATGTATTTTTTTCTTTACAAGGCCACGTTTTTTATTGAAATTGGAAGAGATTGACTGTTGAATCTTCACGTCGGAAATAAGTGATAAACAGAAATCAAGACAAAATATTGTTAGTAAAAGCGAGTGAAGTTGATCATGTAGTCGAACGCTATTATCAATAGAAATAAAAAATCCGGAATATTCAGTCGACGCCGTGAAAGTATAAGCGCGGATTTATAAAATGGCTTATTCCCGAAAAATCGCCGGAAGCGAGGAGCGCAATTTTAATCTTATCTATCTTTATCTCCCGTTCGACGCATTCTCGATATCAGAGGAGCAGTGCCATAAGTCTGTACTGCAGAACGAGGTAACGTTTCTCGTCGACCTCGAGAAGAGAGGAACCGTCCGAAGCTCTCTCTCTCTCTCTCTCTCTCTTTAGTGCAACGCATTTATCGCCCTATTAACATCGCTATTAATTTCCTCTTTTTTTTTTATTTATTTATCGCGAATTCCTTCTCATTCGCCGAACGTCGCGAATGGGCCTTCATTCCAGTTCCGACAATACATATACAAAGCAAGGATAAGACGGACTTATGAATAATGAAGCGCGAATATTTGTCGGGTACACAAATCGCGTGTCGTTCGGAGTAAATATTTGATCATCGCCGCTAGCTCCGCCGCGATATTTCTGATTATTTTCGAAGAGGAGAAAATATACCTTCTGGCCGCCTTCGGGGATCGAAGGTGTAAAACCAAATATACGGGGTCTGGACTTCGTCGCAGATCTTCCCTGAAAAGCAGCTCCGATTACGTAAGGAAGAATAGTAAATTACGTAGACCTACAGAAAGTAATTAAAACGGAGTAATTCATATTTACTTTAAACAAGAGACCGCGGAAGAAGTTCCTTGCGGTCGGTCGGGAAACACTCGCTGGGGGAAAGAAAAAAATATAAAACAAATCCCCCGAAGTTCCGGGACTTCTCTCTTCGCTTTCAGTGGTATCTAGAGACAGACAGGGAAATCATTGCAGAGTTACAGAAATAGAGGAAGAGCTAACGAATGGTAAAACCTTGCCGACGTTATCTGACGTTCGGATTGAATTAGGTAAGACGGGCTTCAAAATGGCCGCCTTATCGCCGGCGTCCCAGTTTTCCTGGAGAAAGCGTTAACCGGAAAAATTGGAACGGTTGGCCGTTCCATGTAATTGGAAGTTGGGTACAAAACGACGGACTGTTTTAGTACAATGTTTGTTATATATATATTAACGCGAGAGATCATTAAATCCGGGGAAAAGAGTACCCGTCGACGGTGGTTAGACGATGTCATTAGCCGGAGAGAATGTTGGATCTTGCAGGGGCTCCTCTCAGATATCTGTGAGAAAAGTCCCTCGATTTTCTCATGAGTACATCCATAGATACGGCCTCCGCCTAATCTCCTTTAAGCATCCGTAAGCGACGCAGTCGTTCGCGGATCTTCGCACCAGGTGGATCTGCCTCGCCGCGTGTATCCTAATAAATTAAACAGAATCTATTTATAAATCGGTACGTCGGTTTTGCTGCAGATCTCGCGCCGATTAATTACAATTTCCCGCGCGAGAATTAATTGAATCGCCGCCTCAGTCGGGATCTTACTGACACGCGTTGCGCCGAGTTGCTACACTTATTGAAACAGGTGAACGTCGTTACTTCTCGCCACTTTTACCGACTTTGTTCTAAGAATTGGAAGAAAAGGATAAAATACGATGCGTGACTTCTTCACGTCGCACGGTTAATTTCAGAGTTTATGAAGTCGATTTGATGAGACGTCGCTGGAGGACCCTTTTCGAGTATGAACACGCAGGCTGAGAGTATCCTGGCGTTCTTGTACTCGGCCTCCTTGGTCCTTTCCGTGACGTCGGCGGTTTCGCTGGTGGTAGCTTGGCAGCATTGGTCTTGGACCCTGGACGTGTGCATAAACATTGACTGCGGATGCATTCTATACGGAGTCAACACGTTTAGCACCTTCATGGGTGGAGACGCGAAGCTGTGCCACTTCGGAGTCTCCGGACTCGCTCCTGCGGCGTTCTTCGGATTGTGCTTAGGGGGTTACCACGGGTACAGGGTCTGCATCGACAAAGGCCCGGAGGAACCTCGAAGAGCGTCAAGAGCGGTCGTTTTTCACGACAGGTACCGTCGATATAATAATACAGAGTACATGAGAAATAATATGAGACGATTACATCTATTTCATCGGTAGAATCACTCGAGGAGACGTGGTCGTCATCGGACCGAAGCGAAGAAGTCCTTTCAAACAATGGATGTCTGCAGCGTTCCTTGGGGCCTTGATCGGCTGCTTGTCTCTCGCCCATGCCGTTGTTCTGACCGATGGATACTACAAAACCTGCGAACAGTATAAGAGGAACCTGGTGCAATTGTTGGGCTCCAGAGGACGCGAGATCCAGGTATTCGTTTCTACCCAAAGTACGCATCGGTATCTGAAGTAGCACCCGGTAATATTTAATTACCATCGTCCAGGTTATACATAATCGCCTCTCCTGTGGAGCCGTCCTCGATTTTATGGACTACCTTCAACCGGACGCCAACAATTGGAGGAGAGGGGACGAGATTAACACAGGACTGGCTTTGCAATTGGCGATTGTCGCGTCGTGGTTCAACTTTTTCGCCTGGGCTGCTTCCGTCGTAGTAAATGCGATCATGGCCAGGCGGAGAGTCAGGGACTCGGGCGAGAAACTCTGTTGCTTCTGTTAGGCCACCTAGAAAAAAAAAAAAAGAAACAATCGTGTTAACGAGAAAAAAGCTTGCAAAAGTTTTGCTTACTTGAAATCGTACCATTTTCCTCCCTGTTTATATATTTATGGCGTATCTCTAGCTAGGAATGGAGGGAAACGTCTGATTGAGGAAAGGGACCTCCAATGCCTCTTTCTAGGGCCTCCAGGGCTGTAATCAAGGAAACCGAACTCCGGTCACGAGAAATCCCTTCCAGATCTGCGAACAAATGTCTTTGAGCTCTTTAACGATCGTTAAGAGATACGAATCCGTGCAGAGTACCATTTCATATTGTAACAGAGTTTATTCCAGCCCTCTGTTTTTACACATAGGTACGTGAACGTTCCACTTTTATGTACAAGGTGCGCCGCTCGCACGGAAAGGAAACTAAGTTAAGCTGTCGATGAAAATAATCCAGCGAAGATGACTCGCCGAGTGGAACCTGCCGCTTAAGTTTCTACCTCGTTTATATTTATAATGTANTGTGTGTGTGTGTGTGTGTGTGTGTGTGTGTGTGTGTGTGTGTGTGTGTGTGTGTGTGTGTGTGTGTGTGTGTGTGTGTGTGTGTGTGTGTGTGTGTAATATAAATGAGGAGAGCTGCATCTATTGAAACGCAATCTTCTTTTTCTTTTTTTTTTCTTTCTTTTCCTCTCCCTCTTCCTTCCCGCGTAAATGCAACAGGAATTACGGGTCGCTTTTAGTATAGGGACATTTCCCGGAAAAAAAAAACTAGGAACGACTGCAAACTAGAATTTCCCCGCAGGTTTCCCTTTGGATTCTTTCGATGATCGAGTGACGACTTTCCCGAGAGGATCGTCAATAGGTAATCAATGGACGCAGAAGACGAAGCACCTAAGATAATCTCTCCTCGCCGCATAGTTAATATGACTAAAATCGTGGATCACAATCGCGGAGCAGCTATTTCCGAAAGCGAGACTGCGAGGCAGTTGGATGGTCCTCTTTTTTCTTTTCTTTTTTTTTTTTCGCAGAGTGAAGGTGCACTTAGAGGGCAAAATGCATTTTCTTAACATACCCTGGAAAGTATACGGAATACTGAGACATTTGGTTTTTGGCGGGCAGTGTGATAAATTTTCTTTTTCTTTTTCTTTCTTTCTTACTTTTTTTTTTTTTCGAGCAAAGGAAAGAAATTACGCTACGAAGTTTCGCTTAGCTGCCTAAATGGAGACCAGCGCTCCGGAACGGAGACCGAAATGCAAACGCAAAAGCAATAAATATTAATTAGTACGGTAGGAAGGAAGGAATGTATTCGGTGTTCTCGTTTCCGGACGAAAAGAAACATCGCATTACCCCAGAAAAGAAGCTTCTTTAGCACCGACCCCCGGCTCGGTAAATGTTGCTAAATCCCCTTGAAAGGCCGAAGGATTTGCGATAAAATTGAATCTAGGCGAGATGCTGCCTAAATGTATCTTGCCTTTGAAGGGGAAAAAAGAAAAAAAAAACAACTAATAAGGATCTTTGAATTTGCTCGGCCTCGGGAGAAGAACAATCGACAGTGTAACACCTGTTTCAAACTAGGATGCGCGGCGTCGAAATACAAGCTTGGACATTAATTTAACGAAGAAAGGCACCTAATTACATATGATCTAGTATCTACACTTGTTTGATACAAAACAAATAAATATATACTATATATATATATTTATTTATTTATATCCGGTTACTCTACGGATTCGTTAATAATATTGTCTGATTTTTGCAATGAACTAGATTTCTGTCGATAGACTCTCAAATAGGGACTAAAGGCGCAGCGCGGTAGCAATACTGAAATCCGACGGAACCTCGGTTTCGCAAACAATTGGAAAAAGTCGCGAACGAGACGGCTTTATCAGGGAACTTCGAGTTCGGTCGTCGAGTCGGTTGTTCGTTTCACTCTTTAGACGGGACGGCGTAGCTGAGCAAAGGGGAACTTTCGTCGAAATTAAAGAAGCTCGCTCTTCTCCGCGAGAAGCAGAAAATCACTTCGCCCCTTCCCTTCGGTCGATTCTTGGTCGGAAAATAAATCGTTCCTCGGACGAAGTTGACGTACATCGCCGTTACTATCACGCGTGCCTAGATTTAGGAAACTCATTCAGTAACCGCTAAAATTTCTTTCCGCACGTGTTAGTCCTTTTAATCGGTGTTTCGCGAACATTTATAAACATGCGTTAGATTCGAGCCGTGAACAATTGACACGGTCGGCGAGTAGATGCGTCATACATGGTCGTTGCGGGTCGATATATCGTGTCTTTTTTATTACGGACTTAAGGTGTTACGAAAGTGTCATATATATACATATGTACATAAAAGTCATAATGTAAAACCTGTCTCCATAAAAACCGAGTGCACCGAATAATCTTAAACATTAACATGTAATTACGGAGGTCCTAACTAAGCTCTTGAAACTCGCGAAATTTTATACTTCGAACAGAAACCCAGAAAAAGTTGGTCTTTCTCGTTTTTTTTTTTCCGGAAAATATAATCTCGCGAGATGTAAGACCCTCATTGGGACCTCCGTAATCACGCGTCAAAGTTTCGAGTTAATCGGTGCATCCCATTTGGAGAAAAGTTATATACTTTAATGTTTTTATGTATATAATGACCCTTTCGTATCACCTTTACGCGACTCGCTCGATTCTACCTGATGAACCTGCAAGCAAAGCTTAAGATCCGAAGCGTAATCAATGACTTCCGTTAATCGCTCCCGTTTCTCTAGATCGGAGGATCGCAATCGCCTTAACGTTAACAAGGACTGTCAATGGTATCAGTCTTATGCGATAAGGCATTCTTTTCTGTCGTCGCGAGAACGAAGCGCGGTCGATTTCGAGTCCCAATAGAGAAAGACGATTCCATCGCCTCAACGCCAAATTCAGCGGCCTTAAGGCGCCATCAAAGTGGCATTGAAGAGGTCTCGCTCGTGAAACTTTTCTGCGAGCTGAGTGTACCAAATCTTTTCAAACTTTACAACGTGAACTTAGAGGCTATAAGGAAGGTTTCGACACTCACGAAATGTCCTTTTCTATCGAAAGTTTTGAAAATATCGATGAACTAATTTTTAAAAAATTGAAATTTCATGAGGGTCAGGGTCTTTTATATGGTCTCCATATTCACGTTGTCAAGTTTTAAACGATTCGGTAGACCAAGTGCGGAGAAAGGTTTCATAAGCGTGACTTCTAACGCCACTTTCACATCACCTTAAATCTTGACGACCGTGACTTTGAATCCCAGATTAATATTTCATACCAAGAGGAATCGCTATGAATCCTTGCTCGAAATATTCACGGTTTGTTCCTCGATCGCTTTTGCGTGCACCCCGTGATCAACGAACGTGCACGCGTAGCACGAGTGCGTGCGAAGTGCGCTGAAGTATTCGTTAAAAAGTGTCCCTGCACGTATCGTACTAACGGTAGAAGAAGTCTACGAGTCTCAAAGAGTACAAATGTAGTGAAAACGCGTAGCTGCAAAAATAGATGCGTGTGCCTCTCTAGTAAATTTCCTTGACTTTGTTACGTACCTACTGCCCCATTATTTTTGGTATCGAGCTGCCAAGTTTAACAACCTGGTATCAAGGGAACTCGCTGATGGATTTTTAATCCTTATCGTTAAATCGACGTGGCGGTTCCTTCCATTATCCCGGAATCGAGACAAGGAACTCCGACAGGTGTTTATCGACACCAGAGGGCTTATCGATCTAACCGATAGCGCGATTCTATGAATACCTGTAAGGCTTTACGAGTCGCAGATCGACCCCGGTGTGGATATACACCGTCGAGGTATCAGCGAAAATGGGAACAAACCGAGACGTTGTTAAACTAACGAGATAAAAGTTACCTACGAGCTCCCTCGAACGGAGAGGTACGCTTAAGGTCGACGGCGACCTCGCCTCTCCTCGCTGTCGCACTCGGTTGGTATAAACGCCCTAAAAATGCGAGACTTGTTTAATAACCCTAAAGTACGAATAAATACTAACTCGAGTACCCGGTACTCGGTTGGAACCAAGCAAAGGAGCCTCGGGACGTTCCTCTTGCGCGAGGAAAGGTACTCGCGCGATCTTGGCACTTATTTCGGAGGATCACCGTACGAGGATCGGAGTTCTCGTTCGCCCTCTCCCAGAAGAGATAACACGCCGATAAGAAACTGATTTCGAGCCAGGCATCTCAAATCAAAAGCGATTCCGTTCCTCGCACAATCACCCACCGACCTAGGACGCTAATGGGTTCTTTCCGGCAGGGAGACATCGGAATACAGTTGTAGTTTGAAAATTCAAGCCCGTGTAAACGTCCCCCTGAATAAAATGTCCACGTGTCAGGAATAAAGTTGCAGATGAAATCCCAGTCGGGGGATGTTTCGTCGAGTATGATTTCTGATATAATTCTATATTCCTGAGTCCATGCCGGAAAAATCACGCGCCACCAGGACGCTCCGGGTCGAAGACCTCGTCACTCCGTGAGGGTACCAAGAGACGCGACCTCGGGCCGACCTGGCATCGCCTCCGCGAACAGCGTTCTCCAAGACCTGTCCATCGATCGGTCTGACCCGGAGACATCGGTCAGAGAGCCTCGTACTAGCCGAGGTCGACCCTGTCTCATGTGAAGGGGTTGCTGCGCCTCTTGAGCGAGCCGAACCGCTTCTCCGGCTCCCGAAAGACCTCGAAGGGGGCGACCCCGGAGCCGGCTCTCCTCTCCTCGTTCTCGTCGCTAGGAAAGTCCTCGAAGCTCATGTTGCTGAAGCCGGCGACGACGACGGGGCTCTTCTTGACCTTGTTGTTCCTCTTGTAGGAGCTCTTCGCCTTGTGCGTGGCTCTCGGGGGCAGGACGCCAGGGTCCCCGACGTTATCTTCGATGAGGTGGTACCTCGCCTTCTCGGTCTTGACCTTCTCCTTGCGGTGCTTCGGGGAGTCGTCGGCCACGAGGGGTTCTGGGGACATGGGGGAACCCACGTCGGGCGAGCACTCCTCGCCTGATAGGCTGTCCGTCCCCCGTACCGTCATCGAGACGGGGAACGTCGTCGCCTGGTCGAGGTGCGCCGTGTACCTAGGGATCCTGCCGGTGCGGGAGGACTGGGCGCTGCTCGAGAGGATCGTCGTCAAGGCGCCCTCGACGAAGCTCGGCGACCCGGAGAGCGGCAACGAGGTGGGTCTCTGCTGGCTGTTCACGGTCATGGTGGCGAACTCCTCGAACGGGATCGAGCCGAAGAGGTCCTTCGGCGACCCTGGGGGCAGGGCTCCTCGACCTGGACGGCAGTCACCTGCGGACGAACAAACGAGGATACCTCCGGTTAGAACCTTTGCGTCGAACCCTCAGAAACCGACGTCCTGGACCGAGATCGGGTTCCCTACCGGATAGACACACCAGGGTGACGTGTACCGAGTCTCGCGCCAAGTACGCGGTACCGACATTCGTTACAGTCCCGTCCGAACTCCTCTATTCCGTCCAAAGGCGGACCCGCGAGCCTCGTTCTCCGAAGGTCAAGGAAACCCTTCGTCCTCGGGGGAATTAACGTACGGTGTATTTAGTTCGCGGGACGCGAAACGTCTTCACTACCTGGAGGCCGATAAGGTTGCGACACCAGGTCGACGAACTCGGGATGGCCAACTTGCGGCCCCACGGAGAGCGAGGCTCCCTGGTGGAGGGCCACCTCCGTGGTGACGAGGTCCGATGGGGCCGAGTCGAAGGGATCGACGAAGCCGGTCGAGCTGAACGGCGAGGAGCCGAAGAGGTCCTTCTCTCCGACCTCGTCCTGGCCCAGTGGCGAGGAAGCCACCCTGTTGCGAAAGCCATGACCAAACTCTAGAGCTTCGAAGCTACCGGGCCTGTCCCTGGGTCCGAACCCGCGCTCGGGTCCGTCTTCTAGGTCGACCAGTGGTGAATTCGACACAGGAGTGACCAAACTGGACGCGCGACCGGGGGTCTCCCTGGCAGCGCTGCTTCTCCTGGAGCTCCCTGGCCTAGGAAACGGCGCCAGCGCGAAGACGTCTTCCTCGGGCCTCCAGGCCATCCCCGGTGGTCGGTCGCCCAGGTTCCCGAGACGCCTGGTCCCCTCGTCGTCGGAGCTGTCCTCGTCGTCCAGAAGCAGCGGTTTCTCCCCGTACTGGTGGCCGACGAAGGGGTCTCCTTGCAGAGGACCGGGCTTAGCCTCCGGATCCAGCTCGTCGTCCAGGAGCAGCGGCTTCTCGCCGTAGCGATGGCCCACCACGGGGTCGGCCTCGACGCTCGGAAGACGCTGTTCCCTGTGTCTCCTGGACCTCCTGGCGCACCTGCGAGGTGGCTCATCCTCCTGGGCGGTCGCCACGGATTCGCACTCCGCGTGGTATGCCGAGCTCCCACAGGTGCGGACGCTCTCGGAAACGGTCTCGTCGACCCGGTCGGCTCGACGATCCTCCGCTCCGCTGTCCTCGGCCCCGACGATGGGACCCGGCCTTCCCTCGTCGTCGTTCATCGCCCTCAGGTCGCTCGCCGAGCCAATGGAGTCCTCGGACTCGCAGGCTCTTGTCGTCTCCTGGCCACAGGGTTCTCTTCTCCTCCTGGCCAGGACCACCCCCTTTCCTCGGCGCCGCTTCTTCTTCCTCAAGCGGTCCTCCGTCCGCTGGGCCAGCTCTTCCTCGCTGTCGCTCGACGCCTCGTCCGCGTCGAAGGAGAGCTTCTCGTACTTGGACCTGTCCTCTGGAGGGGCTCTTACAAAAGGAGGCGAAGCTGGACTCGACCCGGTCAGGAGGGAGGCCTCATCGTCAGGACCCACTGACTCCACGGCCCCTGGACTCCACTGTCCTCCTGGTCCCAGACTCGCCCGGGCATCCGCCGGTTTACCTGGAAGACGATTCTAAAATGAATCTCATTGTCATTATATCCTCCGCACTCCCTTTTTCTCGAGAAATATATAAAAGGAGAGCCGAGGTGGCTCGATTATTTTCTTTTTCTTTCTTTTTTTACCTCGAAAATCCTTCGTTATAAAATATGTATATGGACATCTCCCTCAGCTGCACTGATAAAAACGCTCATATAAATTTACATACTCAGTCATTTATTATTTTTATCTCACGATAAAATTCCAGTAAACCTTTCATTGTCTCTACAATATCGCATTCAGCATCTAAATTAAAGAAAATTATAACCTAATATTACTTCTAATTCAAGTACAAATGTACTAATACGGTAAATATACAATGTCACGTGTAATTATACGCTTTATAATTTTTGTAATTTTTCCATTTTACGTATCTCTATGTAAACCTTCGTTTATTATGTGTGCAAAAATGTATGTAAATTTCCCGTCAATTTTGATCAGTGCCGCGAGTTTACTCCGACGACCGAGGGAGGACCTTCGTTCTTGGGAGAGTACCTACCTGGGGAATACCTGCGAAACACGGTCGACTCGTCCACAGAAACGCGAGATTCTTGATAGTTATCGATACCCCGAGGAAAAACGTTCACGGAAGCAAAGAAATATTTCGTCGATTAAAATAATAAGTATTTGAACTCGAATAAACTGAAATAAATGTAATAACCCCGAAGGAACGCCTGAGTCGGTTCATCCGAGTTTATTAGAGTGAAATAAAATTATTCCTTGAATGAACTAACTACTTCTTCGGTATTAATCAAAGAAATATTTCTCTGGTTCGATGAAATTTCCTTTTCCTCGGTGTACAGAGCGAGGTGTCGCGAATTCGGTCGAGGCCCTTTTTTATCGAGGCTCGCGAGTACAAGAAATGAGCCCCGACTCGAACGAATCAGCAGGTGGATGTCTTGTCGCATATTAAAAAATAATGTCAACCTCGCCCTGGAGCGAAGGGAGTCTCTAAGGGCCGGTTGCACCAATGTTCGAGTTGTAAATCCATCATTATTACTTAACGCGTGATTAGGGTACTCCTACTTGATGGTTGCCATACATTGGATTTTCATCCTCGGTTGGTGTTTCATTTTTCCCGGTGCAGCGCGAATTCAAGATAATCTAGTCATGGTTTAGGAACTTAACAGTAATCACGGTCGGTGCAATCAGCCCTAATTCTAGAACGGAGAGGATCAGAGTCTGATTAGGTCTGCCGCAGACAGTTTGCGCCGCGAAAAGACGACCTCTTGCCCCCGACTCGAAGTTCCCTCTTCTCGACTAGCCCCCGGGGTTAATTACACGATAGTCCGTATGTACATGTATGTACAGATATATACAATATTAGTAGTGCCACCACCTCGTCTGGAACAGTCCTAATCAGATTCTGGAGGGGTCGGGAACGTGCGGCGAAGACGCAGCAAAGCTCTAGAAAGAAAAAGAAAAGGTGGAGCTCCAAAATTTCTAAAGCCGCCTCTGCCTCGTCCCGGAAATGGAAACAAGAAAGTGCATTTAATTCCAACAATTCCAACGAAAGAAAACCAAAAAAAAAAAGAGAGAGAGAAAAAAACGAAAAAAAACAACAATTAAGTGCACTTAATTTCGACCTCTTGCAGGGACCTGCGCTGAGAAAAAAGAAAGAAAAAAGAAAAAAAGAATTCCATCGAACCAGAGAAATATTCTATTCATTCGAGGAATAGTCAACCAGAGAGATACATCTTCGAAAGGTACCAAGAAAATATCTTGTCAATCGAAGGATAATTATTTGACCGAGATTAACTGGAATAAATGGGATGCAAGATTTCTTCGGAATTGTCACAATTCATTCCAGTCAGATTTTAATTGAAAGGATATTTCTTAGGTATTGTTCAAAGAAATATTTCTTAGGTCCAATTAATTTTCTTTCTCTTTTATTTTTTTTCAACGTGGAAACTGAATTTTCACGCGAGAATTGCTGCGTCTCGCGCTTCGGTCCATCCACTGAGAAAGAATCGAACTCGGAGTGCTCACATACACGTTTATTGCTGCAACATATTTGTCTCACTCTCTCACTCTCTCACTCTCATTATCATAATTCTCGTAGGTCATACGTCGAGAAATTCAATAGCGCGTCCAAGATTGTCAGGCCCCTGGAGGTAGCTCGGATATTCAGGACTGATAACCGATATCAAACGTGACCCAGACCGTTTCGTTTTCCGACTGTACGTGTCGATGTTTACGGAAAGAAAGAAATGGCTAGAATGGACAGAGAACTCCGTGGGAATGAAAGGCCGATGCGAAATATTCGAAATACTCAAAATATTCGAAATACTCGAAATACTCTGGCGATTCCCTTTGCACCACCGACTCGGACGTCGCAAAGATAGAAGCGACCACCGTAAACCGGAGTGGCGAAAATTCGATAAAATCGCAAAAATCGCAAAAATCCTCGCCCAATAATAAAAGAAACCCAGAATCCTTCAGTTTACATTCCAGCGCCATTATTTCGTAAAGCGCCCAAAATCGCGCGATGAATCCTCATCATTTTTTTAACAATAGAAAAGAGGAGAGTCCCGACCGTCCTTTCCGAGGTCTCATACACGCAGAAAAAGAATTCAAAGTCGTAACGAGAAATCCGACTTGCTTCAAGAAACGTGAACACTTGAAAATGGACCAGGAAAATTTTTTTATCCAGAAACACATTTGTTACATTAAGAACAAAGAGAAAAAAAAATGATTATTTTACCGAGACAACACAAATACTATTCATGGGTGCAATATTCTTTTCTAGGAACGACAAATTATATATCCGTCATTTGTTCGATGAGGGATAACGATATTTTCTTGTCCATCGCTAGGAGTTAATTTGTTGATTAGGAAGTAATTTTTCTAAATAAAGTTCTCCACTGGCCACATCTACGTTCGGTATAATTGCAAAGATTATTGCTGTTGGTACAATTATGCCTGCGGTAAGAGGAAAGAATGTATCAGCAATGTCCTTTGTTAAAAGTGGAAATTCTTTTTCCCGTGTATACCCTGCGCCAGGAGGCGGAAGTATGGGTCTCCATATTAATTTTTGATAACTCCTACCGAATTTTCTCCACTCTGTGCGTATCAAAGACTGCATCTAAGAATCCGGCCTTAAAGCTGGACGTAAGGACATCATCGCTCAGGCCTCCAAAACTAATCAGGATGTTCCAGACAGTGGACAAACAAATGTATATCTATACAATATGTACGCATGTATATAGATATATATCTCTCTCTTTCACATTACAAACATTTTTACAGTGCGCCGGTACGGCCTCACGTCGACTATCGGTAATTCGGATCAAGCTGATCGATCGATCCGATCTCGGCGTGTCTCGCTTCGAACTTAATCTCGCAATCGTCGAAACCTCCGAAGGAAGTCAATTTATCGAAGATTTCATTCTTTCGACCGGTGCCAGAAGGTGAGCTCGGATAATTTATCATTTTTCAAAGGACGAGAGAAGGCGCGACTCGAAGTTACGATTTTGCATATCTACGGATATTCAAAGAGTAGATCTTTCCTCCCGGGGATTTCGACGCCCCCTCGGCGACGTTTACACGGAGACAATTATTTATAACATTCGTAGTGGCAGACTTGTTTACCCCACCGCCTCCGACGAGCCGTGAAAAGTGTCGATGATAAAAGTATTATCGAACATCCGTAACAGATCTGGACGAAAATTGTGTAAGGACTCCGCATGATCGACCCTAATCAAATCTACCCGACGAACAAATCGAATGGCCACCTGCCTACAATCTCGTGTAGACTAATTTCTTCGTAGCTGTACAGAAGGCGGACGAGCACAGACGGAAGACGGAAATCTACGCCAGCGAATGTTGCTAAAGTTTTAATTAATCCTTTCGATAAAATCTGAGACTTCAAATTCCTCGTCCGGGGTGACTCGGAGCAGGTGGACGAACGTCTGCCATGCCGAGATCGTTCGTTATTCTCTATTTCCTTCATTCTCATTCAAGTCGCGGCGGACTCTGCCGCCAGGAAGAGGTCACGAGTCGCAGGACACAAGGGCGAAAATGGGGTAACCGTGCGCGGGAAATCCGACCGTAAGTACCCCGTCGTCGATCTGGCTCGCACAATCGAGATCACTGTAACTTGAACGTCACGCGAGCTGGTTAAACGGCGGCTAATCTACCGCGATGTTAGTGGCTTTACATGACTAATTACTTCACTTTATGTATATATATATAATATATATAATATATATATTCTCTATCTGTATGTATATATGTATAACAGGAGTTGCGGAAAGAAAGAGTGCCCTTGAAACGCATGCTTCTCGGTAAGATTATCCCTCGACTGGTTGAGAAATAAAATTGTAAATTTTGGCAACGTCACAAGGCTGTAGGGTCTTAACGATTACACGACCCGAAGGTCTGGAGGATATCGAAGTCCATCCCTGAATTGAATTCGTGGAGGTACCCATCCTGAGGAGGCTGCCAGAGATAAACGTATACGCGAATCCACGTGTTCTCTTCTTTCCGCACCCACGACACTATACACTATACAATTAAGGTAATGTGTAGAGTAATTTGTGTGTCTTTACGAGTAACGGAGCGAAAATATCTCTTGCCCGGGCAATCTCTCGTGTTTAACGTGTAATAATACATTTGTATAATATTTATAGGCGACATTCGCGTCCGGTTTGGCCATGGGTCTACCAATTCCTGTCTCTCTCTACATCCAGAATTCCAGATCGTTCCCAATCGCGAGTAAATCTTCAAGATAACAACCTACCAGCCAAGCGAAAGGATGCTCTTTGCAATATATATATATATATTAAATTTATGTATCACTTATTATGCGTTGACGGTAGCCCTCAAGCGCAAAGTTTCACAGTTAATTACAGTACTTGACAATGCGCATTCCTTCACTTTTCTCAAGTATATGTATATATTTATATATCATCTTCGAATCTCGGATTCGATGTTCATCTTCGTATGGTTGGCGCAGAAATCACTTCGATACGGATTAACCTTGCCTTACGTGTTACATAAAGTATGTTAACCGTGCTAATTGAGCATAAACATAACTGAGCAAAACTTAATCACAGAATATACCTTCCACGAGTCTAGCCGAGGATCCGGCGAGCAGAACGAAGTGATTCGATCCGCTCTTCCCCCTGCTATGCGTGATCGTTTTCATATTTTTTCTTTTTTTTTGGCCTTTTCATTTTTAACGAGTTTGGAATTCTAGTATTATCACGGCGTCTAGGACGCAAACATTTGCATGCATACTCGGAGCTCTTAAGTAACGACTGCAACGCTAATCGGATCTACTTCGAGTATGGCACAAACGAGCGATAAGGTAATAAGAAAAAATACCTCTATATATACATAAAAAGTCAAAATATTGATATAACTTTTCTCCAAACTAGGTGTACCGAGTTGTTGGAAACCTCGGCATATGATTACGGAGGCCTTAAGGAAGAACGCGGTGTTCATGAAATTTCATTTTTAATCAAAGAAATTTTTTTCATTCATCCTAGACTAGAACCAATACATATATATATTTTTTTTTAATGAAATCTCACGAGCACCACGTTCTTACTTAGGGCCTTCAAAATCACGTGCTGAAGTTTCAGATGATTCGGAGCACCCAGTCTAGAGAAGTTTGATAAATATTTTTATTTTTCATATATATATAGGATGACCCTTTCAAGTCACCTTAATGTCAAGTTGCAAAAATTAATCAAGAGGTCTGGGACATGATTTGAGTTGACCGACTTGGGTCTCACCGGGAAAGAAACGTCCCAACGTTAAATGTGGAGTTCAGAAGTTCTGGGTAGAAAACTTATTACAGGCGACACGGTAATGTTATGCAATGGCGCAAAAGCTTTGAAAAATCAATGAAATCCGATGGACCGAGCTCACCGGTCAAGGACGTGGCCGACTGACGTTAAAAAGCGACCACTAACGACCACTGGTCCTTAAATCGATCGAGAATTAAATTTCAAAGTAAGTACTGGAACGACTAAAAAAAAAAAGAATAAAAGTTAACGCTCGAATTAACCGGATTTAACGTGACGAAAATTTTACGACCCGCGGTTTATCTACCCTTAAGGTTTTACGAAAGGATCATTAAGAAACTCGGTAGAGTCTCGCGCCAAATATATATGAGGCGGGAAATTCTCTGGTTCTGTGTATATATATCGAAACGTCAAAATATTTATAAGAAGTAATGAAGTACGCAATGCTGATGAAATCTCATTTTTAACGACAAATTTCTTTTCGTTTGTCCCAGACTAGAACCAAGGATACACATTTTTTTTCTTCTAAAAAAAAAATGAAATTTCACGAGCATCATGTGCTGAAGATTGAAATGATTCGGTACGCCCAGGTCGGGGAAAAGTTTTTTTTTATATATATTTTGACATTTTCATATGTATGGAATGGCCCTTCCGTAAGAAATAATTAAATTCCCGAATACCTGAAGAGGTCAGAAGCGGACCAGAAATCGAATGTCGCCGGCACGAGTGGAATCCTCACTAGCGAGGAGTATGCAAGAAAATGTTGCTTCGATCGAGCATCAACGGATAACACCTCCGAGAACGTTTATTTTAATTTGCTACCTCCTAACTAGGCAAAAATGTTGAAGCCTACACTTAACGAGGGAGCACTTCCTTCGCCGCGATTATCACTCATCGCGTGGGCTGGAGGCAAACAGAGAGGAAGTAATTTCCTCCCCATTTCAAAGTACCCGCTCCATTAGTGAAATGAAAAGCCACCTCTACTCGCGAATACTCGGGGACCTAAACTCGACGATAATAACTTTAACGCGTGCGCGATTACAGGACGCACGTATAATTGTAAGAAACTAATTGGATATCTTTGGTATATATTGTCCGAAATGAAGAATTATCTAGCGAGGCGTAGTTTGAAATTTCCCTTCTACCAAGAAGTTACGTTGCTCGAGACAGTTGTTGAACCTCCGAAGAATACGATCAATGACTTTCAACCGAATCCTTTAACATCCACCCTATAACTTCTAGAGTATGACAGCCGTCCGCGTGCCTCCGTTCTCCAAACTGCAGGGAGGAACTAATTGCCCTAACGATGTTCCTTCTCTTCCGTTTCCCTAAATTTCCCCGGGAAACTTGCCACCGCGCTAGAATCCATTTTTGACATCCTTAATTATTCCCCGAGAAAGATTCCGCAGTAGTCGGACTACCGACACCCGAGATAAGGCTCCCTTGCGCATCCTTTTTAAATGTACACCGTGTATGTATGTTACATGTATATCGTGTCGTGATGTAAGGTTAATAAGTGCCAAAGAAAGTACGCGTGAAAAGGTAACGGTGGAGTAAGGATTTCATGCATTACCTCCGGCGGTTGCGGCAGCCTTCGATTCGAGCTTGTTTTTCTTGCCTGCTGAAACAAAACGTGATTCGTTAGTGCTAATTGGAATTTCACCTAAATTTCTCTAGGAACACTTGACGTAGATTTCTGAATAAGAGTAGGGAAAATCCCGGAAAAGGAGGCGCAGGACTTACCAGGCAAGCTAAAAGGTGCCAACTCGAAGGGATCCTCCGGTAATTCGGAGTAAGTCATGACCAAGCTTTCGCGGCTCTTGACGCCGCTGATGCTGCTGTTGCTGCCTTTCCTGATCTTGTCGAATTCAGCTCCGAAGATATGATCCTCGGTCAGCTGGCTAAAGGGTTGCGCATCCTCGAAAGGATTCCAGGCAGCAACGTCCGCACTGAGTGACCTGTTCTCCGCACCTGTTACGCTCGAAAGCTCACCCTGACGTTAAAACATTGCGATCAGTGCCAACAATTAGCGGTACAACTTCGCTAAGTACTTCACCTGTTCTCTAAATATCCAATCAACTACTAAACACTAAACTAGGTGCAGTGCAGAAATGAAAGTAAACGACCCAAACGAAAGATTCCCAAATTTGAGGAATTTTCTTTCTTTTTTTCTTCTACAAAACAAAGGCGAAGCGATAAGGAGCGACATACGACCGAAAACGACTGCGTTCGCTGTCAGAGCTTCGTCTACCAGTGGACAGAAGGGTTTCATTATTGACCAGTAATCAACAGAAAAGGATAAGGTGTGCACTCGAGTACTTACAACACGTACATGGGAGGCGCTAGCACCGATGCAAAGCCTGACGTCGGTTGATAGTTCCGGTGGAGTGCCACCACCGGTACGGGACTTCACCGAAGCCTCATACGGAGCCAGGAACTGAGAAGTCTCGTTTGCAAACACTCTGTGAACATTGAAAAATTGGCTATATGATAAACAAAGGATCCTTGGGGAAAGAAAAAAAAACGAACATAGTCATGATTTGGGGGATTCTCAAAAGAGCATAACGCATCGAAAGGGAAGACTTTCGCGTTCCCTCGACGGAGTAACCTACTTGTTAAAAGCACTTGTATCGCTGACGTTCCTCCTGTGGCGCGACGAGGACAGCGTGGGGCTATCCGGGGGAGAAGAGCTGGAGCTGATGTTCTGACTGATGCTCTCGATTTTGTTAACAGGCTTCGACGGCACCGGAGGCGCGGTGGGGGTCAACTTGGTGGGCCGGTCGCAGGAGGCGTTCAACTTGGCCGGTAATTGGCCAGGAACGGTGAACTTCGAGGGTGGACAGATGCCGGTGGGGGTGGTCATCTTCGGCAAGCCCTTCGTCGAGCCCGGTTTAGGGGCAACCGGAGGTGGTATCTTCGCAGGTGGTGGCATGACCCCGGTGTCGTCCTTAAATGGATCCGGATATCCTGCAAGAGAACCCCAGGAATAAATCATCTCTCAGGACTGAAAACTATTCCAAGCAGTGGGATCAAAAAATCCAGCCAGGAACTTAACCGTTCCGGTTAAGTCCAATTAACACGTTAAGCGCGGAGATGAGTTTACTAAGCTTTCCGTTCAGGTGGCACAATTTTTTATATACAGGATTACTGATACTGTGTATTGACGTCCCCAGGGACTGACATCGCGCTTAACGCGTTAAACAGAAAAAATTAAGAGATTCGGCGACCGTACCAGAGGACGGAAAAAGCGAGTCGAGATTCTCCTCGTTGACGGGGGCAGACCTGACCTCGTGCTGCCTCGAGTCGAAGTAGAAGGGTGCCTTTTCCTGAACAGCGACCGGAGACTGTCGAGACAGCGGGGTAACGCCGATCATCGGACTCTGGGTCTGGCCAAAAGGTGCCTGTTGGGCCTGAGGTCCGAATGGCGAGGTCTGACTCGGCGAGGGCACCTGAGCGAATGCTGGTTGTTGCTGTTGCTGTTGCTGCTGCTGTTGAGGGTTTGTAGGCAAACCCTGGTGGAACGACTGGGGTGTCGTTATCGGTGCGACTGGCGCGATCGGTGTGCTCTGATTCGTCGGCACGTAGGGAACTGGGTTGCCGACGGAATTCTGCGGCTGGCCAACGGATATCTGGCCGGCGATTTGACTTCCAAGGCTTAGCGGACCCGTGGCCACTCCCTGGCCCTTCGGCCTCTGTCGAGGAGTCACCGAGGTGCCCTCGACCGTCGACGTCATCATCGGAGTCGGTGGCTTCGCCATCTTCGCAGAGGACCGCCTCGCACTGTCCGACTCCATCGCTGGACACGGCAGCGACTCCAGCGTGGGTGTTGGAACTTTCTGGAGTAGAAAATCGTCCCATTAATTATAACCGCATTGATTTTACTCTAAGTGATAAAGAAGTATAAGCTCTATCGGCGAATTTACGTGTAAATTCTGTACGGGACACTCTTTGTTCTGGATTTGAAAGGCTATCGATGCCACCTGGTAGATATCCGGTCGTATGTCGGGGTCGGGCTCGAGCATGTACCTGATCAGGCAATGCAACGCCTTGCTGTACCTAGTGATAGGAAAATAGAAAATATCGACACTGTTACCGGGATGAGATCGAAACAAAGAACTTCGAGCTCACCTCGAGGTGTCTGGAATGGTAAAGTTACCGGAAAGGATAGCCAGGGTGCTCTCACCAAAGGGTGTCGTGAAGAAGCAAAGCTTGTACAGCAAACATCCCAAAGCCTATAAATGATGACTCGATTAGTTAATATTTTTCATGACCGCCAACCTTGAACACACCGGGATAATTTATTTTACCCATATGTCAGCTTTGGTAGTGATGGCCTTCCCGCAGTACATGTCGACCATTTCAGGTGCTCGGTAGCTGAGAGTAGTGTACTTCTTGATTTCTTCCTCGACTTGAGCAGCACCCTGAATGCTAGGATTCAGGATCTTCCCCGTAGCTGATCCGAAATCACACAACACATAATGCCCAGAATCGGCCAGTAGTATATTTTCAACCTATACATTAAAATATGAACGTTTAGTATTCACATTATTATTTTGTCAATTTTGATAAGTTTACGTTGTCCAACTTGCTTTCAAATCCCTGTGCACAATTGGAGTCTGACAGTGATGCAGCCGGGACACTGCTTCGCAGACATCGCAGAATATTTGCAGTACTTCTGGTTCGGAGAACCCTGTCTGTAACCTGGTACCGTTAATTCGATATTAATTTCTGATTAACTGGAGCGCCACCAATTAATTTCACTTAAATGTAGTTCGTACATCTATTTCTTTTCTCCCTAGTGAACTATTCGTGCGTACCTGTTAATCATTATTTGAAAAACTTGCGACTTGCAATAGGGCATCAGGAGCAAAAGCTCATGCACTCCGCCTCCTGTGTGCGAAATGCTACTATCTATGTATCCAATGATGTTCTTGTGACCACTTAGGTTACTCTGCAAGTAGCAATAAAATAATAAGCTCGGATCCATTATTGACTATGTTAGGTTTTACCGATCTAGGTACTCACTGCAATTTGGATTTCCCGTTTGCAGACACTGAGATCGTGTTTATTGTTGACATACATGCGTTTAAGAGCATAACGACCAGTCGATGACTTGACCAGGAACACCATTGCAAATCCGCCTGTAATAAATTAATAAAATGAACGTAGAGTATTTTACGAATTAAACAAGACTATAATACAGCGATACATCTTATTTTCGGTACAAATTATCAAAAAGGATTACATCGATGAAGTAGATAAGTGAGATAAATCCGTAACATAATGATTTGATAAGGAATTCCGCTGAAGTTATACTGGAGATAATACTAGGGCGTGTTACGTATCAAATAACAGATTATCACGAACCATAATTACAATACAAATATTGGAACTCCTGGTAGATTAGAAATCACCAACCAATTATTAATTTCTGCCTCCGGTCGCTGTCTGAAAAAATTCATACTACTTCGTAGACTATTTCCTGACGACGGCTTGCTCAAAATGAAACATCATACCGACGACGAATGCCTTTTCCAATCATTGCAATTAATTTTGGATCGCTAATTGAATCAGCCTAATCCTTCCTACGATTCGATGCGTCTCCGAAGAAGTAACGCAGAAAGATCTCCCTTCGCTGAGGATCTCAATATTCAATAGAATTCCGTGCGTTCGAAATTTCTATTGCTCGCGAATTTCACATGCCAAGAATTCCGCTTCCAAGAGTTTCACTCGTTATAAATTCTACAAGAATTCAAATGGCTCCGAAAATCCAGCATTCTGAGCTCGACTCCCTCTGGAACTTGATAAGCTCGAGAGTCACACTCGATGTTAAATTTACGCTGGAAAATTCTTTGCGCTGGAAAGGTCTGCTCGTTTGAGAATGCGGAAATTTTCGCCTTGTAAAAAACAGTCGTTTTCCTCGGCAAGCGCGGGGCGTGAGCGGTTAACTGTGTCGGAACAGGGCGTACCTTCGGCAAGGACCTCCTCGACGGTAACCGTGTGCCGACCCACAACGAATACCTTCCCGACGTAGCTGTTCGGTTCCTTGGCGGTGTTCTCGATCTTCGAGAAGAGCTTCTTCATGTTGGTACGTCCGCGCGGCCCTCCCAGCGCCAGAGTCGTTTGACATAAGGCCGCTTCTGAGCGTTGTCGGGGGCGGCGTGTTCCCCACCGAGGACGACCTCCTTGCGGCTCGCGTACCTCGGCGCGCCGTCGGCCGGCACGTCTTCTGCTTATCGCGCGCGAACTTAACCAAGAATGATCGATTCCACCATGATAACGGCCGACGCACTTCACCCAGCCGCCGACATTTTGGGGCTGCGCGCATCGCGCGTGCGTACGAACCCTGCCGGAAACATATGTATCATCGCCGCTTCCGGCGGAACGTCAAAAAACCGAGCACTCGGGGAAAAGAGAAGTGACAGGCTGCCTCATTCATTACCCCTCCCCGTCGGCTGAGAGACCGCCGAGGCCACTTAGAGTGCGAGTGCGAGAAGGATAGACTTATGTGGAAAAGCACGGAGGTAACTTGGGTATTCTCCATGTGCTACTGAAAGAGGAACGAATAAGGATGCTGTTACGAGGATCCTGCAAACTGTTTCGCCCCGCCAACTAGGATACGGATGAAAATTTATTAATGATTTCGAGTTAATGAAGAACTTTGTTCGAGAGGAGATAGGAAGGAATTATTCTTGAAGAACTCAGGAGATTGGTTGTTTACAGGACGTGGAATGACAGGAAATTAAAAACTCGGGGGCATTGAATGTCGTGGGTAATAAGCTGACCAGAGGTGAGGTTAAAGTACGATTAAGGTTCCGAGCTTGATTTAGGTTTTGCCTCGATGTTCTAATGCCTAGAAATATTATTCCAAAATACCAGCAAAGATGAGTGACATCGAGGAAGAGTTCGTGATTCTTGACGATATAAAGGCATTAGAAGATGCCTTATCCCAGAAGAATTTACCTTCATCCAGACCGGTTGATTCTCCTGCAGATTCAAAGAAACAGAAACGTTTTTATAAAACTGAAACATTCGACGAAGGATTTGACTATGAGTCCTCTTTATCGTTGGAAGATTCCTCTTCCTCTGAGACGGAGGACCTTGAAATTGTTTCAGAGGAAGATAATCTACAGGCAGCCTTTAAGTTGAACCAGAAACTCATAGAAATCTTGGAGACCACCAAAGCGGAGCTCGAGTCGGTTCTCCAGGAATGTAGGGCGAAAAAAAAATATGTGGAGGAGAAGCTCGAAACAACAATGAGTTCTAATGTGAAAGTAATAAATACCACTGCGGGCATGCCATATTTCAAAGATAAACAACAGTTTCCAGCCCCAAAAAATGAGGATGCCAGATTCAAAGCAGCTCGAGGAGAATTACAAATTATCAATATCAGAAATATTTGTCGGTGGACGAGGAAAGATAGAATGATACTGTGTAAAGCTATTAATGCAGAGGCTGCTGCGGAAATAGTGGATCCCTTGCATGGTACCGAATCGAGTACGTCAAAGGATAAGTCTACAAAGTATGAGTCAACTTCTACAGATGACAAATTCCTACCAAAGAACTACAGGGACTTGATAGGTCCATTGGGAACAAGAGAATTTGATTGGTTAAAAATAGCTGCAACAGATTTTAACAACAAACACTCTGGCGATGAATGTCAAGTTATGTGGAACGTCTTTTTACACCCGGATATCAACAAAATCTCATGGACCAAAGAGGAGGACAGTAAAATGTTGAGACTAGCCAAAAAGTATAACTTTCAAAATTGGGATGGAATAGCAAGGGAGCTCAAGACTCATCGGACTGGTTATCAATGCTTTATCCGACACAATGTGAGTATACGATCCAAAGTGAACACCATGAGATCTTGGTCAAAGGCGGAAGACCAGAAACTTAGTGAGATAGTGGAAAAAGTAAAATTTGGTGATTTTGTACCTTGGGGCGAAGTCGCATCCTACATGCCCAATCGAACCAAACAGCAAGTGTACTTTCGATGGATGTACAGCCTAGCTCCGCATCTCAAGAAAGGTAGGTTCACCAAAGAAGAGGATCAGATTCTTCTGGATGCGGTAAAAAAGTTCGGTGATAACTTCAAGAGAATCTCCGCATTCGTGATGCCACATAGGAGTACGATCCAGCTCAGCGATCATTATCACACCTTGCTTACGAGGAAAGTGTGCGTAACTGGCTGGACTCTGGAAGATGACGAAAAGCTCATAGAATTACATGGTCAATTCAGAGCCGACTGGTCCGCAATTGCCCAGCACTTTACCCATAAGACTCGGGTACAACTTCGACATCGGTACTCTGCTCTGGAACGATATCAGAAAAAGGGAATAACCTGGGCACAGATTCCAAGGATCTGTAGCACTAGTGAGACGTTAGGTTTGACTGCGCCCTCGAGGACTCTTACGTCAAGGAAGAATGACTCTTACCTGGAAGAGCAATATAAAATGAACTCAGAAAATGAAGATATAAAAGGCACTGACAGGAAGATGGAATCCGTGGACCAACAACTTATGGAGTACTTTAAAAGCTTCTATCAGCCGGCTCGACCTGGTCGAAGAAAAAAGTACTATACTCCAGAGGAATTGCAAGAGAATACAAAGGCGTTGCACAAAATTCTAAAAAAATTGAATGCAAATTTGAAAATGCCGGAGCAACTGGATGTTGAGGACATGACCGAAAAGGATAAACAACTGCTAGCTTCATTCAGGGAGTATGAGAAGAAGCAAGCCTTGGAAGAGGAGTACCGAGCTGCGAATATTGAGAAACTTAGGCAGCGAATGTTCGGTAATGACTCATCACCAGGGAGTGTTTTTGTGCCTTCTGTGCCTTCCAGTAGCAAGGCGGAGAAGACAACTGTCACCTGTATGTCAATAGATTGTCCAAGCACGGGGGATAATTATTGCAGTGAGCCTGACTTAATCTTTGACACTCCTAGAGTAATCATCTCCTTAATTGGTGGTGACATTGTGCAAAATCAGTTTGAAAGTATCAGTCGAATGTTGGTGACTTTGAAGGGTGTAACGATTCAGGACGAGTGGACTCAAAGTGCGCATCCTAGATCGATGATTAACATGGAAAAATTTGCAGCTTGGTCAACTGCAAGTGCAAGAAATCAGTCTGGCTCATCTGCGAATTTAAATAAAATAATTAGTAAAGTTAAACTAAAGACTATTTGTTCAGTGGATGGTAACAAAACTAATGACTCTACGAGGGGGGACTTCTGGAATGTGATAGAACCTTGCTACAGTACTTTACTTGGTTTCCGGAACATGTGTACCTCAAAACTATTATTTGATCTGCAAGAGAAGGAGGGAAGTACATATCAAGGTCAAAGGAAAATGAGTAGAAATGGACATCGAGCTCTCTTGCTTTTAAGAGATCGCCTTCTCAAACTTTTCATGTATCCAATTGGCATGGCTCATACCTTTCCTCCGATAGTACATGAAAATGACTGCATCTTCCTACACCATGGAGAAAATACTCAAATTCAGGGCGATAAGAGAAAACAACAGGCTACGCCAGGTTTTAGTAAAAGAATTAAGGTAGACCATGACAGTGAGATCATATTGGGGGACTGACAGCATGTCGTTAAGTATGACATAAGCTGTTAAGTACAATATGAGCTGTTAAATACTACAAGCTATTTTTACTTGATGTCAAGGTATTATTATTATAGGTAATATTGTTTGACACAGTAATTTAAATATCCACATTAGGTGAGAATTACTAAGACTCTGTCCCAAAAGTTACTTTAAGATTTTATTGCGTTTTAAAACAATTCTTCCAGAAACAATAACATATTTATATGAAATAGATATTTCACTGTTTTTCTCGGTTTAAAAATAACCAATTACAGTTGTTCATGATTTGTGACAATTTTTAAAAATCATCTTACCTAAAAATGGTGCGTTGTCCAAGTACAAATACGTTTAACAATTTTATTATTGCGTTCGCAGTTCAAAGATAGTAATCCAGGAACGCGTATAATGAAACGTAATTTAAATTGTTTTAATACACGCCTAAAAGAAAATAAAAAATAAAGCTGGCAAGATATTTAAAATGTTATTTCATCCAAAGACCTCATCGTTACCCTCTTCCTGCGAAGTAGAGTTACACTCGTTTTATCCAGTCAACATTTTCAGAAATGCATTTGTACTTCGCTGACGTTTGACTCTACATTCTCATTACTCAGAAACTCACACAGACTTAAGTAAATGTTGATCATAAATATAATTCCTATAAACTGATTTACAACTTGATTATTTCCCCTTAGAATTGATTGCATGATTGAGTAGTCCTTCCACGAACAATTGCGTGAATGCCATTGTTGCATAAATATAAAAAGAAAAAGGAGAGAGAAATAGAAAAAAGTTCCTTGAATTGCCAGAGAAAACAGTTGTGCCTTGAAACGAGAGAAATGATACACTTGTGCCGGCAGAAAAGAGAGTAGAAAATCGCTAAAAATATATTACATTGTTAAATCCAAACGACAAAAGAACTAAAAAAAACATGAATTATACAAACAATTATGATTTACATATGAACTTAAATAGTTCCTCGTTTAGAAGAAATTAGGTGATTATTAGAAAAATGAGTACGAAATAGTAACGCGGAGACCGCCTAAAAAACGCGTGTCTCCTGTACACACAGTCGTCTTAGTTTCCATGGTAACATTTTCATTACGAGAAATCACAAAGTTCTTTAAACAAACAAAAAATGGTTATAAAAAAGGAAATGTCAAGAAAGTTTCGAAAATGCGAAATCTCCGGTGCACTGGACTAATCAGAAAAGCCCAATGGGCCGATTTCCCTTTTCGGAATTAAGTTCCCAAGATGACCGTTCATCTCAGTCGTCAGGGAAAAAGTATCCTTGAAGAATAAAGGCCGAAACCGCTCCTCGACCATCTTGAAAAAGGCACCGGCCCCTATAAACGAGCGAGACATCCTCGGGGCCACGTGTCCTTTAGATCAATTCTCTATAAGACTTCTCTCTACCTCTCCCGGATTTCCTTTGAATTACTTTATCCCGTTAAAAATAGTGCCGAAGTTAGCACCCCTAAAGGCAGTAACTACGATCGCGCATCCGGCCACAAGGATCACCCACCGAAGCAGCCCAGATTCGAATCTGCTGGTTTCCACTCCATCGTGGACGGTGATAATAATCGCGCAGCCCGCAGTGATGACGCCCCACAGGAGCAGGTTGACTTCGAATCTCGCCGTCACAGCCCTGAGACTATCCAGGATAAACTTAAACGATTCGTTCACCTCCGGCACGGGCTTGTCGGTCAGGATCTTCATCTTAGTTAAGTACTCCAACAACGGAGTATGATCGCGGCTGAAGATGGGGAAGTACTCGCCGACTTTTTCCCTAGTCCACCAAGCTCGGTCCCTGCAGAAGAAAAGAATGTAATAAACACTATCAGTTGAGAAAAGGTACCTTAAGATGATATGAAAGAGTCAGCCTATATATATATCTGAGGTCAAATCGTTGGTGTTCTTCAAATTGGGTGTACCGATCCGTTTCAAATTTTACCACGTGAATATGGAGGCCCTAAAGTAGGTCCTGAAACTCATGAAATTTCATTTTTCATTAAAAATTTATTGACTTATCATGGACTAGAACCAACATGGCGTGGTCCGTGCACGTTTTCGATGTTTTACGCTTCTTGGAGGCTTAGAATTGAAAATTAAGCGTTTCAGGACCTAGGTCGAACAATTTAGAATACCGTAAAAAAGGAATATTACAGAGTCAGATGGGAAAATATGGAACATAGTTTCACCAACGATTGCAAGAGAATGCTGGCTTCTCCCGTGGGTAAAACATGTTTTTAAAGTAAGACTTAAGTTACAGCGAAACGTCACAAATGGCGCTGGTTAGTCCTTTAGAGTATAAAAAGTCATGAATTCACGGGATTTCGAGTTTTACATCGATCTTCTAATCATTACTTTACCAAAATGACATATGGAACGTCTCATTTCATATAATTCTCAATATAGACTGTAAAAGACTTCAACATAAATATAAATGTCAGTAACGTAACGTTCCAGCTTATGTTACCACTTGAGTATCCAAAATAGCGTTACCGCCAAAAAGGGTAAAGATGAATTTTATTTAATCGCAGGGAAAGCCGTTTAGTTCGCATAAAATAACTTTGCAGGTGCTAAAGCATCGTAAGGATACTTACGAGCCGCTGCTCCACGATGAGAAGCGATAGTGGTAACGGTTTGCTCTGACGTACTTAGGTGGTTCCTTACTAAATGGATTGTGTGCTTGGTCGATTAATGCCAAGACTTCTGGCTGTCCAGTTAGTAGCCGATAAGCCAAAGACATTAACCATGGGTTCTGGTGATAAGTTCCCTGTGCGGCAGATCCCATCTGCCAGTCCAAGCGAGGATGATGAGGTGCTGCACCCAGAATGTAACGTTCCGTTAAAAGTATAATTCACGCTTCGAATCGATCTACTAATATACTTACCAACAAAAGTTAAGGAGTTGTTAACATTCCCCGGCTTGTACAGGAAGTGGTATTCGTACCAAGGTCCTCCGATGTTATTACTGCCTTCGATAATCACCTCTGGCCTTTCGTTGCCTCTCGAAGGGCAATAAGAAGAGCCATAGTTATTAAATATGTGGATACGTTCGATATTGGTGTACATTTGCTTTAGCTGTACAAGTGGAAATTCCGACGTTGTATTGTGTGAAGGGTGCAGATTGATAAGAGATACCTAAAAATGATGGTTAATGCCTTTGAATCATGTTCTATGCACGCAACCTCCGTTTGGTGCTTCACTTACAACGCTAATCGCAAAAGCGATGCACACGACGACGCTGTAGAAAATCGACGTCAAGGTGTTCATGATTTTTTTTTTGAGCCCTTTGGAGTTCGCATAAGAATTGATTACCGCGATGGTTGCAGTGGAGCAGAAAGACCATGCTTCGTTGTATAAAGCGATGAAGATCACGTGATATAAAGCATAGTTGAACTGGCCTTGATTAAATCCTAGAGGGAAAACAAGAATTACGCAAGTTAACGGAGGATCGGGCAAAGTGGTCGTAAGTATAGCCCTGAGAAAATGTAGGATTATTTACCGATATCAGCCTGTATCGTCCGGTTATCTGAAACTCGTAATTTATACCACACCCAAGTTCCGTACATAATTCCACCATACACCAAGATACACGTCGCCGTGGAGACAAAGTCCACGAGAGCAGGATTCGCCGCTTTAGATGTTTTCTTGTGAAAAAATTGGTCATCCAGTAAGGAGACGCACAGACAGATCGTCAAGAGGTTAAAGAAACCGTAGTTGCCTGTGGCGATGGTGTACAACAGGAGAAGAACCTGAAAATACTCTTTATGATTAAAAATTGTCTTGTATCTATGAGGTGCACCGCTCTAGTGCTCACTAAATCTGTACCTGCAGGTAAAACGCCGTAATTCTGACTTTCCTATTGGGAAAGAAAAACAAGAAAGGTACAGCAAGCTCGAGAACATTCAACACTACGGCATTCATTCGCAGGATCCATGTCGGCAAGTGATGGGCATACCATGCCATGGGTGCAGGGATGTATTGCAATTCAAAATAACTGGTCAAAGCTGAGGGATAAATAAGACAAGAATTAGTTTAAGAAGATCAAGCTGATAAATCTTGAAGATTCATGACAATTTACCATTGAGACTCCACCACTGTGGGCAGCCAGTTACAAGCTTCGATACACCTGATGAAAAGATTAATCGGAAGAGCAGCCAGCGAACTGGCCATAAAGATAGAGCATCTGTGGGTGTTGGCACTTTTGCTTGTTCCGCTGAGAAAACTGGTGCCATTATGCCACATAAAAATCCAATCTCTGATAGCAGTTGGTCCCTATTAGTGAAAATTAAGTTATGTACGCACTTTAATTTGCTTCAAGGGCAATTATTTAATGAGCACATTAATTGTAAATTGCGATTGTGGGAAACAATGGATGTCAAGCATCACATTTCAACCTGCTGTGAATTTTCAATCGTGTAGATCATTCGTTTAAAATCACTTGTGCCGTGAATATTAAAAGCATAGATAATAATGTAGATTTTAAGAACTGAAAAACATGAAACATATCCTTGATAACAACATCTGATATTCTATCCTGTGCATTACGCAGCCAACCACATTGTATTTCTATAGTCAACTTATGTAACAAAGATACGTTTTATAATCTGTAGCTAGACGCTGACTAAATAATGTAATATGAACTGTAGCATTGCAATTTTAAATATCTCCTGTTTCTAAAATTTAATAATTACAAACATTAATAGCAGGAACTCTTACCATAAATTCCACATGAACGTCGGTCCTATTTGGCACAGAGAAAAATAGCATTCCCAAATTATCATAAATATTGGTGCTGTACAAAAGGTTTGAGACACGAAACTGTAAATAATAAAAAAAATTAGCATCAGTAGATGATAGAAAAAAAAAAGTCAGATATCAGAATTAAAAAATGTAACTGAAGAAATTAATTACCCCATGAAAGATAAACAGATTCCTGTTAAACATAATATATCCATCATGTACTCTACATTGAGGCCGATGTAAGGTGCGATCCATAGTAAGGTAGGCTTTTGTTTAATTTTCTGTATTAAGTCTGCTTGTAAAGTAAGGTCCAATTGCGTTCTAGCTGGTAAAACTCCATTTTCACCGAACAGTCCTACAATGAATAAAAAATATAAACCATCGTTCATGAATGAGTTGTGGTAAAATTCAGTCAAACAAGAACCGATCTCGATAAATTCTTCTTATCGAACGTTAAAAGTGCGGCCGAGTTTTCATACAATTATTGCTTTTGATCTTGCGGACGCTCGTATACTTTCTCACCTGGAATTTGGGTGTACAAGCTTAGGAACGCAAAGAGATAAATGGTACAAACTCCACGAAGGATGAGGTTCCGCGTGTACCTAACGACCATCCTCGTGTCCGTTGTAGTCCTAAGACGCCGGCTTGTGTCAGAAAATGCACATTTACCTAAAAACGGGGAACGCAGGCTCCGGTACCACCTAACTCTACCGGAGGATTAGCCGATGTTAACTATGACCACAGAGAAGATGAGAGCAGAGATGAGTTGGGAGATTGCTTACGGGCAGGATGGTGCGATCACATCTTGTGCTGCCCTCTGGTTTCGTACGTGAACTTTCACCGTTTTTTGCCCCCAAGGGCGGCGCAATGAATTTCTGATAGGAGCTCGCGCACTCGCGATGGCGGTACCATCTACCAGTCGCCGTTGGCGGCTCACGTACTCGTGATGGTAACACCATGCGGCGGTTGACAGTGGTGGCTTACCTACGCTTACCGAACTGCTCGCTGTTGATGATAAGGGAAGAACACTCATGATGCTCCGTTTGACTTTATCTACTTAACTACTACTATTAAGTACATTGTTGCCTCGAAGTCGACGTGAGGCGGAGCTTTGGGGCACGCGTCGGTGTGTCGCGTACGGACTCTCATGCAGCGAATCTGTGTGAGTGCGATCGGTCCTAGAAATCTTCGCGCGTCCCAACCAGCCAAGCGCCACTCTGCGGCAACTCTCCGGTTCTCTGCGGCCCTCTCCGGCACTCTCAGGTACCCTGCGGCACTCTGCGGCACTCTCCGGCAACTCTCCGGCACTCTGCGGCAACTCTCCTTCACTCTCCTTCACTCTCCGGCACTCTACAGCACTCTGGGGCAACTCTCCGTCACTCTCCGGCACTCTGCGGCACTCTGCGGCGACTCTCTGACACTCTCTGGCCCTCTCCGGCAACTCTCCGGCGCTCTCCGGCGCTTTCCGGCACTCTCCGGCACTCTCCGTCACTCTGCAGCATCTCTCCGGCACTCTGCGGCACTCTCCGGCACTCTCCGGCACTCTGTGGCAACTCTCCGGCAACTCTCCGGCACTCTCCGGCAACTCTCCGGCACTCTGCGGCATCTCTCCGTCACTCTCCGTCACTCCCCGGCAACCCTCCGGCACTCTCCAGCACTCTGCGGCAACTCTCCGGCACTCTCCGGCACTCTCCGGCGACTCTCTGACACACTCCGGCACTCTGCGGCGACCCTTTGACACTCTCCGGCATTCTCCGGCAACTCTCCGGCGCTCTCCGGCACTCTCCGGCACTCTGCAGCAACTCTCCGGCACTCTCCGGCACTCTGTGGCACTCTCCGGCACTCTGCGGCAACTCTCCGGTTCTCTGCGGCCCTCTCCGGCACTCTCAGGTACCCTGCGGCACTCTGCGGCACTCTCCGGAACACTGCGGCACCTCTCCCTCACTCTCCGGAACTCTCCGGCACTCTGCGGCTCTCTGCGGCAACTCTCCGTCACTCTCCGGCACTCTCCGGCACTCTGCGGCACTCTGCGGCACTCTGCGGCACTCTGCGGCACTCTGCGGCATCTCTCCGGCAACTCTCCGGCACTCTCCGGTACTCTTCGGCAACTCTCCGACACTGTACTGCACTTAACAACACTCAACGGCACTGGACAGCCTTCGATTAGGTTCGAAAACACTCGAAAACGCTCGTAAAGCGCGTGAAAACGCTCGAAAAACGCACGATAACGATCGAAATCACTAGAATATCACTCAATAACACTCGAAAACGCTCCGAAAATGCGTGAAAACGCTCGAAAATGCTCTGAAAATGATCAAGAAACGCTCGAAATCGTTCGAAAACTGTCGAAAAATGCTCGATAACGCTATGTAACGCTCGAAAACGTTCGAGAATGTTCAAAAACGCTCTAGAAACGCTTGAAAACGCTCGATAACGCTAGTAGGGAAATGTAAAAATCATACGCGAAATGACTCGGCATATATCCGCAGTTAAGTAAGCCTCGGGAGGAATTTTCGCAGCATTCGACTCTCACGCATGCTCGTCGAGGGTAGCGCCGAACGCACACATACTCAACGTCTCGACCAGTCTTGACGCTTGACTGGTTGGGACGCGTGAAGATTTCTAGGAGCGATCGTACTCACACAGATTCGCTGCATGTGAGTTCCGTACGTGACACCGACGCGTGCCCCAATGCTCCGCATCACGTCGACTTCGAGGCAACAATGTACTTAATAGTAGTGGATAAGTAGATAAAGTCAAATGGAGCGTCAAGAGTGTTCTTCCCTAACCATCAAAAGCGAGCAGTGTCGGTAAGCGTAGGTAAGCCACCACCGTCAACTGCCGCATGGTATTACCATCACGAGTACGTGAGCCGCCAATGGCGACTGGTAGATGTTACCGCCATCGCGAGTGCGCGAGCTCCTATCAGAAATTCGTTGCGCCGCCCTTGGGGGCAAAAAACGGTGAAAGCTAACCTACGAAACCAGAGGGCAGCACAGGATGCGATCGCATGATCTTGCGCGTGATCAATCTCCCAACTCATCTCTGGTTTGAGATTTACAACGAGAGTAAAGAATATCTTGAGGACGAAAAATGCCGAGCCAAGAAGTTGCGATTCCGCAACCGCCGGCAACCGAAAACGAGGAGGTTGCTCCTTCGTCGCAACCAATCGTCGGCATCATCTATCCTCCGCCAGAGGTTAGAAGTATCCTTTTAATTCTCAAACAATTTGTATGTACAATTGTATTTACAACCAGGTATACGTACTTAATTAGGATTTGAGATATCAAAAGTAAATTACTAACGCATTTTGTACTTTCTACATTGGTTACCTATACTGTATTACGTACGCTGGTATAGTATTCTCAAAGTTAGTGCTTCGTAATCGTACATAATAACTATTTGCATTTGCTACTATAATATCTATATAACAAGCAAAATATTTAGAATCTGTATCATCCTTTATATGCCGTACATTCTTGCAGACTTGATCGTTGCAGTTATAAGTTACATTATAAAATAAGAACAAGCGATGTGTTTATAATTATAATATAACCTTGTACGTTTCCTTATAACGTGCTGTAGATATCGTCGATAAGACTGCTAGTTTCGTCGCCAGGAATGGGCCAGAATTTGAATCAAGAATTAGACAGAATGAATTAGGGAATCCAAAATTTAATTTTTTGAACTTCGGAGATCCATACCATGCATACTATCAGCACAAGGTCAAGGAATTTAAGGAGGGCAAAGGCCAGGAGCCGACACTGGGTGCTGGTCTGGGAAAAGGAGTTACGCTTGCTGCTCAGCAAAAGCAACAGGAAATCTTGAAACAAGTGGAACAGCCATTTGTTCCCAAAGACCCACCTACAGAATTTGAATTCATTGCTGATCCTCCATCGATTTCTGCACTAGATTTGTATATATAAATGATATAAGAAAAATAGAAAATTCATTGTTATTAACTCAAACATTATTTGCAGGGATATTGTCAAGTTGACAGCTCAGTTTGTGGCTCGTAATGGTCGACAGTTTCTTACTAATCTCATGAATCGAGAGCAAAGAAACTTCCAGTTTGACTTCTTGCGTCCGCAACATTCCTTATTTCAATACTTCACTAAGCTATTAGAACAATACACTAAAGTGAGTTTACTTTTTATAAGTTTCACAATTATTCGATCGTGTTAATAATTTCTAAATTAATCTTTATTACAGGTATTAATTCCACCAAAAGATTTACTCCCCCGTCTACGAGATGAGTCTTGTAATATGGATAAAATATTGGAGCAAGTTAAATATCGCGCAGAATGGTTGAAGTATCAGGAGGCTCAACGGCGGAAAGAAGAGGAAGAATTAGAACGAGAAAGAGTGGCTTATGCACAAATCGACTGGCATGACTTTGTTGTGGTTGAAACAGTGGATTACCAGCAGTTTGAAGTTGGTAACTTCCCAGCACCGACAACTCCAGACGAAGTAGGCGCTCGTGTGCTGATGCAAGTAAGCTATAGGTCTTATATTATTAAATCTAAATGAACTTTCAGATAAAAAATTAATGACTACTGTCAAAAACTATTGTCCAATTATTTGCTTATGGTTCAGATATGCACACAAGTGTTTTTCGTATAAGGTTTTAAATTTTGCCCGATAAATTAGTAAGCAACTACATCATTTATTTACATTTAACATCTTCAAGGAACGTATTGAAGAAGGAGAAGATGTTGAAATGCAAATCGAGAGCGATGGAGACGATGACATGCAAACTAGAAATGACAACGAAAAAGATCGCGCAAAAGACAATAATCAAGTATGTAACTTTCCTAACGTGATTATTACAATTATCACTTTCCGACATACACGTAATCACGTTGACGAGATTTTTTTTGCAAGGTTCAAGATATGGAGGAAGACTCGAGTGATGAAGACGACGTATCTCCTCCGGGTGAATCACAAAAGAAGGAATCAAAACCACGCGATGGAAGTATGCAACCACCACCATTGCCACCTACCCCTGGAAATGTCGTTGTCAAGAAAGGATACGATCCAAAACAACATGGTGAGTCTTTGTCGATCACTTTTCATCCAATTCTTCATTCTTCAACAACCTTAACTTCAAATAAATCTTACCACAGTGTATCACAGTAAGATTCCTTCAGACTATTACATAAAAATTCAGTAACGGATTTAATGCAATGATTTCGTACTGCGAAAATTTAAAGGTATCATTCCTAAATAATCTCTTTTGCAGCAACTAAAACTGTTCGTCCTGCTGCTCCTGACGAGTATCTGATCTCGCCGATCACTGGCGAGCGTATTCCAGCGAGCAAAGTGCAGGAACATATGCGTATCGGTCTTCTGGATCCACGCTGGGTGGAACAGCGCGACAAACACCTCGACAAGTTAGCCCAGGAGACCGTATTCGCGCCTGGAACCGCCATAGAAGCCAGCCTGAAGCAGTTAGCGGAGAGACGTACCGACATCTTCGGCGTTGGCGACGAAGAAACGGCAATCGGTAAAAAGATCGGCGAAGAGGACAAGAAGAAGGACGACAAAGTCACTTGGGATGGGCACACGTCGAGCGTGGAGGCCGCCACGAGGGCAGCCCGCGCGAATATCACTCTCGAAGAGCAGATTCATCAGATTCACAAGGTCAAGGGACTCTTACCAGACGAAGAGAAAGAGAAGATCGGCCCGAAGCCCGCTAATCGTGCCGCTGAATTGTCGCACATGGCTGCAGCTGCATCGAAACCTCAGGCCACCTTGAAAGCTCCACCGAAACCTCCAGCACCGAAACCCATGCCGGTTCCATCTCAACCTCCACCGCCTACCATGAGCATGCCCACGATGGGAATGCCACAGCCCATGATGCCTTCAGCTCCTATGATGATGATGCCGCCTATGCCTCAAATCAGACCACCTCCACTTATGCGTAAATATTTTTTTTACTCCCTTGTGCTGGGAATTTGTTCCAGCGGCGTATCGGATAACATCTACAAACTGAGGAGTTATTACCAAGCTGAACAGAAATAGCTATTACATATACTATAATATTATTAAAACAATTTATTTTTAGATTTTTTTTTACCTAATACTCGCCTTGTTTCAGCTCCGACGATGTTCATGCCCGCTCCACCTCCAACACAACCACCTATGCCTACATCAGTAAGTAACAAGCTTCTTAGCTATGATTCTTTACGGTTTTTAAATATCGAGTAAACTAAATGTTGTTAATACTTAGATGGGTATGAAGCATCCTTCGGAGCCAATGGAAGAAGAACCTCAGGCTAAGAAACTGCGAACTGAAGACTCCCTGATACCGGAACAGCAGTTCCTGGCCAGAAATAAGGTGCGTTTGTTGCGAGACTCCGTGGGGATTAGATGGATAATTCGGTTTTTATTGTTTCATTGGTTGATTTTTTTTCAATGTTACCAGGGCCCGGTTCAACTAAGCGTCGCTGTACCGATGATGGCTGAAAAGGCAGAATGGAAACTCAATGGGCAGACGTTGAACATTACGTTACAGCCGAGCGATACTGTGGCAACCATGAAGGCACGAATTCACGAACAAACTGGAATGCCTCCAGGAAAGCAGAAGCTGCAGTACGAGGTAAGAACATTGTAGCTCTTTATTTAATTGTATGCCCGTTATAAATGCTAAGGCTGCGCGAAACGCCGTGTTTTGCTTAGAAAATCTGACTTATTGGCTCTTTTCAACATAAAGTCACTTCTTGTGCTAATCTTATCTAAAAGCTGGATTTCATGGGTATTAAATGATACTTTTTGTATTTTTCAGGGGATGTTCTTTAAAGATAACAACACACTTGCTTATTATAATCTGACTTCGGGTAATGTCATCAATCTCCTGCCGAAGGAAAGAGGAGGCAGGAAGAAGTAAGGCGTTATTCGGAGAGGTATTTGAGGCCCATTTATGCAGATTATTGGGTTGGTACCGAGCAAACATTTTTAAGAGAAGGAAGGAAACCTTCAATTTTATTGATAACGATTTAATCTTAATATTAATGAGCGCAATTGTTTGGACTCATATGTGCGTGCATACATCCGATTTAATTGATTGTCAGCTTAAGAAACAGAGGTCACAAAATATATTCTCCCTGTAGTTGCGCCCCGTATATTATATACATATCCTTCATAGTAATTGAACATATATATTAATCTTTATTTCAGTTTCTACTGAAAATCCATGGCAATATTTCCCATGGAAGGAGGTTTTAAGAGGACATGAGCAAACTGCTGTTTTTTCACTATTGGAACAGTAACTTCACTTGGCATTAGCCGCTAAATAAATATTTAACTTTCGGTATACTTGAAATGAATAGAAAATTCACTGAAATGAGCCGACGAGAAATTCGCGAGTCATGGCCGGTTCAATTGGGTCAATTGAAGCAATTATACTTGATCTAGTGCATTGCAGAAAATGCCGGCGACTAAAAATATCGCATAACATTAGTCAATTCCGTTTTATTGGGACGCGTGTCATGCAGCACGTCCCGACGTAAACAAAATCGAGAAAGATTTAACAAATCCTTAACCTGATTAGCTCGGGTAATTATTACATAACGAAGCTCGAGGCACTTGTTTCTAATCGAATAGACCACTTGTCGTTGTCAACCGATCCGATGGACTAGACTTCGATTTTACGTTTTGTCAATTGGTGCACGATTCTTCTGTAACGTTGTACCATAGGTTTATATATCTGAAAACAATTGAGACATACCCTTTCAATGACTTAGAACAGATTGTATAACGATCGCAGACTCGTGCAGAGTGCAAACTTCGTTTGACATGTCACATCGACTTACGGATTCGGCATCGTCGTAAGGCTGACACGCTAATCTCGGTTCGGGCAAATCTTTCGTTATTTCCGCGAAGGTACACCTGTCGCGAGTTAATGCATGCTTCGCCTGATAAGCCGCGCCCATCCGCGCCGAATTGGAGACGTCCTGAAACGACAGACATTGCAGATAACAGATATTCCACATATTCCTAACTTTACAACCGCAGGCGAAGCACGTACCGAGATGTAAACTGGAGAATTGAAAACGTCAGCGAGAACTTGCAGTATGGCTTTATTCGCAGACGCTCCGCCAGTTGCGATTATGCGAGTCTCGGGTCCTGCATTGTTAGTAACAGACATTTTTCACCTATGAAGTACGTAAGGTACTTGGTTTTGACGAATCATTAGATGATATCGCGGTACGATGGGATTATGAGTATCGCTGAAATGAGTTATGATAGCGATGCTGTTGTTCATCTTTAAATCGCAGATACAGATGATAAAGGTAGCACGAATTACCACGTGGTCCGCTAAGCATACGGAAAATCAATCCCAATTACCAATGGTGAATCCGAAGTCCTCGGCATGCGACCTCCTTGCAATAAATTGACCTTCGATCAGTGCTCTAACTTCTACCTCCTTCGAGCTGTAACGATTGATTTCGTCATTGGCTTTATTGAATCTATGATCGCCGATCGCGGACGGTAGGATCTCCTGAGCGTCGAAGTATAATCCCATGTTTCCGAAGTTCCCTCGTGGGGTGCTTTCCAGCAATTCGTTGAATATTTGCCACGAACCGGCCGCTGCACTGTCTCGGATTCTTTCTCGGGTCAACGAGCCATTTTTGAAACTGAAAATGACGTACACTTTGCACTATTTTCTTTCTAGTCGCCCTAGACGCCCTGACTCTTTCACTTCTAGGGATATTAATTGATACAATATCGGTAAACTGTAGTGTCCATACAGCGGCTAAGTATTGCGAATGTTACTTCAATATTGATACGAAAACATTTTACTTTATTGATAGAATATTCCATCATAATATACAAAAGAAAATATTGTATCCATTGTTGCAAACGTATCGTTACAAAATATCGCATGTCTAACGACATTTATCCGATATTGTCCTAATATATTGAATGTATTGTTTACTGGGACACGAACTATTATATTACCTCAATTTTATCTAGTGATTGATAATATTGTACCAATATTCGTCGCTACAGGGGAAATAGTGCGGTAATGTTTCATCCCGGCTTATATTTTCGAGAAATCTCGGAAGCAACAAATATTAGAAAATGGAATTTTACGAAGGAACTTCTTAATACGCGGGTGACCAATTTGTGACTGATATTAATTCTATGAATAGAAAATATATATTACTAGTTTTCTTACCAGAGCAAAGCCATGTAAGCCTTCTCACTTATCGGATTACAGAGTACATGACCATTCGTAGCGGTTTTCGGTTCATCGAGCCACAGAAATAATGTGTCACTCGTACCGAGGCTGCATGCAACATCTCCTTTTCTCAATCTCATTCCTACATACGAATAATATATAGAATAAACAGAAGTACGTATTGTAGATGTAACAGTAAACGAGACAGAACACGTACCCACCAAGGAACCTGGATTGTCTCCCGTAAAAGCGACGACTCTGCATTTCTCGTCGAATCCAAATCTCTCCACAAAGTAAGGAGATATCGATCCGATATCGCTGTGAGATGGAATGGGATTATCTAGTTTCTCCCGAAGCGCTGGGGCACAAACCTAGGTTTAAATGTACGATTAATTATAAACCGTCGTCAAGTTAGATGTATCGTTTTAAGATGATATGAAAGTGACGTCGAAGAGGTTCCGTTCGTGAAACTTTTCTCCGAACTAGATGCACAGAATCGTTTCAAACTTTACAACGTGAATGTGGAGGCTGTAAGGAAGGTCCTGACACCCACGAAATTTCAATTTTGACAAAACTTTGTTTATAAGAATTTTAAAATTTTTTATAGAGAATGAAATTTCATGTGGCAGGACCTTCCTTATAGCCTCTATATTCACGTTGTAAAGTTTGCAGCGATTCAGTACTCCATGTTCGGAGAAAAGTTTCACGAACGATTGACCTCTCAGAGGCCAGTTTCATATCGCCTTAAGGTCAACGAATACCTACTTCTAAGAGTTCTTCGCTCCAGTCCTTAGTGCGAATGTTTAGGAGATTCATTCCCGAGCCATCGGAGAAATCAATCGGTGCGAAGTCCCCGAGGAAGAGTGAGGCAACAAAACTGCTGACTAAAGAGATTCTCTATTAAAAAAAAAAAGAACAACCATTAAATTGATTATTACGCGAACATTAAGTGATTAACGTACGTCACATATTGTTGCGAAATGGACACTCGTCGAGCATGCAATTTATGTTGCGAGAATATCGTTGCGCTGCTTTATTTTCCTGCGGATCAACGGGCGATAGGAACAAATTACTCCGTTGACCTTTTTCTTTCCGCAAGCATAATAATAATTTTTTTTCTTTCGCACAAGTATTGGGATTTTCAATGGAAAGAACTTGGAAGGCACATTTTTTTTAAGTACACTCATTTGAATATATAAAAAATGATCCTGCGCTGCCGAAAGCGTAGAGATTTCTTTTAAGCTTACGGGAGAAGTTGCTAACAACACAGATCGGGTTTGTCACGTGCAAGGAATTAATTATGTCACAAGAAATTCGGAACACAAGTAAACACAGGGTTATTTTTCTATTATACTAAACATACGAACATGCTATTAACTTCAGGCGATGTTCATAAAGCACTGGAGAACTACTTTGGGAATAAAGCATCCTTTGAAGCTTGACGATGTTTGTGGATGAACAAATGCATTGAATAATTCAGTACTTTTGAAGTCGGTTTCCATCTCAATTAGAAAAATGAAGTTCGTTGCAGTCATTACACTTAGCCTTGTAACATTGTAATTCACAATAATGGTAAGGTTCATAGTCAAGCTTAAAGTAAAAACGCGCTTCTTTTAAGCGTTTTACCAGTTTCTGTACTACAAACTTTTGCGGGGTTTCGAGGATGGACACGGTTTCTTAGTGAACACTTTACCACGTATTATTTGATATACCTATACATCCTCAAGTATCTCGATTAATTGGCGCTGTTTTTTCTAGGAATCCAATTTTGACTAGGTGTACCTCAGTGTTACCGTAGGCTTCGGGTTTCTTGCCTGCTACCTTTGCGATTTGAGCCCCCGAGAACCTCTCGTACGCCCGAGATCCCGTAATTTCAGCCAGTCTCTGAAAAGTAACAACAAATTACCATCGTTTTACCTCTCTGAGAAATGCAACGGAACGTATAGAAAATATTCTAGAAAATGTAATGCTCGGATGCTACTGTACCACGGTACATTCATTTTCATTTTTTTTTTTCTTCTGATATTGTGAAATAATTATCGTTACCGTGTATAATTAGTATAATTAGTATAATTTATCGCATTACTTGTTATCTTGAACCGCGCACAATGCTTGTTAAGAAATCTCGTGAATTTCTAATTTTCTGTGTCGACCTTTACCTCAGCACCACCGACTGCATCTTCGAGAATCTTGCATTCAGCTGTAGTACTAGAATCCATCCACACAGGCGATTGGTTTAAGGAGAAGGTCATAGCTAGTTGTTCGTGTAAAAATTTCATAGGGTCCAATTCTTGTAGGTTCGATCGACTGACTTTGCCCCAGTATACGGTGCCGTGTTGCTAGATTCGATATAACACGACAAACAGATTAAATTAAAAGGATGGTGAAAAATTCCGTAAGGAAGGTTTAACTTCATGGTCTTAAAATGATCAATACAGTTTAGAAAACAAAGATACCAACAATTTGAACCACTTATGTTTAACGGTTAGAAATACAGTAAATAGGGCTATTTGCTCGAACGTATTTGGTGCGGAACTCTGCCGAGTTTCTTGATAGCAGATATTTTAATGGCAAAGAGTCTATATGGTTCCTTCATGTATATACCTGGGCACATCCAGAAACGGCAGCGACTTTACTAAAGTCAACCCCGCAGACTCTTAACTTGTCGAGAATCATGTCTAATGCCTTCACCCACATCAGGGTGGGAGCCGTAACAACACGAGGCTCCTCTTTCTTCTGAACAACTCCTCCGTACGTTCTGGAGATAGAAAAGAAAATGAACGTCGTTAACTGGGAAAGTAATTACAGCCTCTGTTTGATGTATTAATGAATTAAATCACTCGGTACCTAAACTCAGGTAAGTCATTGTCAAATTGGACGCTGGTTTCGTGAAGCACGTGGAGATGGTCGTCGACAACTACTGCCTTTAACTGAAACACAATACACCGTATTTAGATTATTAGATTAAATTAAGGAAAATAGAATTAAACATTACGAGATGGGAAATAGGCAGTCCCTAAAAAGTATATGATACATGCAGTACAATTTTTAAAGGTACTTTTTCTATCCATAGTTGTATATCATATTTACTTTAGGGATTAGTGTATATTTCATAACTACTCTTTCTTAGTGTAGGCTGATAAAAGAGCTGAATCGCGATTAAATCGGCGTTTCATCTCTATGTAAAATTTAATGTGACGGCCCTTAAAATCATTGTAGTTTTGGTCTTGCTACATATACCCTCGGTTATGCACATTATCGCGAAGCAAGATAACGATGACCCCGGATCGATACGTCACGGAGAGTCTGACGTTAACACTTCGTGATTTGAATTTTGAGAATCTCGGTTAAGCTTCCCAGTTGCGTCGCATCTCCCTTATCACCGACTTAATTCGATAAAGAACATCGGCTACTTTTTTGCTCACATTGACCCCACTAAAGTCGAAATGAATTTTAGCACAGAAAACAATATTTTAACAAGTTTATGGATATAGTCTATAGATATTAGCTTATCCAGAAAGTAATTATGAGTTTTGCTATTTAAGATCTTACGTTATGTTTTCAAATTAAGTTGTTATCCGGCTTGTGTATGTTGCATAAATTACGCATACTAGCATGATAACGATAGTTGTATTTTAAATATTAATTTCTGTTTTATTTAGATTATTTAATTAAAGAAGGAAATGAATCAAATTCACCCGATTTTTTGTTTCAGTTCAAGATAAGACGTATTTCTACTGCGGTAAATCGCAGTGTCAATAACAATTTGATCCAGTAATTAATAACGAACTCACGGTACAATGGTGGTTTTAAAAGTTCAGAAATGAGAACACTGAAGATCAAGAATATTTTGGATGACCTAAGGCCATTAACCTAATGAAATAAAGCGAAAATACATTTTTAATAAACCATTGCTGTTATCAAAATGTAGAACGAAGGCTACACTTTTAAAAAGTATGGAGCACGGACATAAAATAAAGACATTATTTGAAAACAATGCGTCAAATCTTGAACGACAAATACCGCAATCATTTTCTGGGAAACCTAATAGCAATTAAATTGGAAGAAATAAATAATGATGGCTCAATGGTCTTTAGTAACGGTGCCCTGACTATTTATCAAGCCTGTACTAAATTACTGGACGCATATCTATATTTCCGATAATATGCCGTGGAATGTTGCAGAATTTTTAAAACATCCATAAATTAGAATTCTAAGAACCAGTAAATCATGAAGAATTCGCGATTGCACGTAAAGTGTCCTTGAGGGTAAGTTTACGTTATTTGAATATGGCGCCATCTGTGCGATTTTTTTTCGAGTAGTATATGCATAAAAATAACTATTCGTCTTGTCCACACTTTTACAGTATACTAAACATTATTTAACAGTGAACGAACCATGTTCTTGATAGTACTACCTGTAGCTCATTATTAACCCATATAACGCTCGAAAAATAAACAGTTTCTATAAATCAGTAAAAAAAAAATATACAGCGTAAAGGGAAAAAAAGATGTAAGTTATTTAGTAACACGCGTTGAACTAGGTTCAATGGAAATTCAGAAACACTAATCATTTTTTCAGGTGAGGTCCATACATTTACTTTATGCTTTATGATACCAGATAACTTCTTGCACTCGCAGCGCCTACTTTAAGCGTAATAAAAATGCCCATGCAAATTTGTATACTCAATCGTTGATTACTTAGATGGCCCAATAAATAGCAGTAAAATTACATTGCCTCTGTAATATCGCATTCAGCATATAATTTAAGTTAATGAAGATTCTAACGTAACGTCGCATTCAATTCAAGTAAAAATTCTCTAACACGGTAAACATACCACGTTACGTATATCGATACATTTTCTAATTTGTAACTCTCCCACTTTACGTTTTTCCATGTTTAACTAAACTTATTAGGCGTATAAAACTGCACGTAAATTTCCATGTAGTTTTATCAGCGTAAGCCTGTCGAGTACCTCTCGAGGCGTTTGAATTTGGCGCGCCGCCGCCGCGCACCTGGCGACGCGTCGCACCTGTAGCAAACACGGAAGTATGGCGTCGGATTTCATAACCCCCCGAGACTTAATGCCCACGTCAGGCGCGTAACTCGTCGCTACGCGTCCTCGAGGGTAAACCGTCTAAGAAGGAAGGAGGCATCCTGGAGAACGGCGCGAGGAAGGGAACTAAACGTAGCCGCAGCAAGTGGTTAGGCGGTCCGAGTTCCACTCTGCGTCGGTGCGTTCCGTTCCACTCGAGGAGCCAAACTGTCGGCGAGCCGGCGTGAACTAGAACCCTCCTTGGAAGGTTCCAGACGTTCGATCGCGGCGAGTCGCTCGGACTCTAGATAACCACGCGGTCGATGGTCGTTACCTGCTGCGTGCTGAGATCTACGCCCAGGTAGGTCGCGTCCGAAGGAGCGGCCATATTTGGCGACCAAGGCGCTGCCGGTCGCGGCAGGTTCGGACGGGACGCGAGACGACTCGACTGAAGCACCGGAACGCGGAACGCGGAACATGCGGGCCGCCTCGCGAGCGGCGACTTCGATGCGGCACTCGCCGCTGCTAGGTTCTCCTGGCTGTTCTTAGATGCTGCTAGATGCTGCTAGGTGCCACTAGCTGGTACTAGCTGGCACTAATTGCGAGTACCGCCAGGCGCGTTGCGGAACGGCTTTGAAACGGGGCGCGTTCGTCGTCGGAGACCACCGGAGGAACTAGACTCGAAAGAACGACTCTAGCGGTCACGTTCTTCCACGCGCGGTTCGGGCCGACCTCAAAGGCGACGAGCGAACGGGATTATCTTATCGTATTTAATTGTTTTCTCCTTATTCCTCGGGCTTACTAACTCGACGCGCAAACACGCGATTGCGTGGCTGGATAGTGGGAGCTGGATGAAAAGAGGAATGCTTGCGGCGTCCTAAATGGGAAAGAAGCTCAGGCACGGGTGGAGTTAAACTAAATCGGAAATACTTTGTCTCCTTGGGTTATATAACCCGACTTTGCTCTACCAATGGACGCTGTATATAATTTATCAACAATACATCTCAGATGCTGAACACCTGTTAAAGGACTTTCTAATTAAAATCGGATTATTGCTTGTTTTTACTTGTTACTTCACGAGCTTGGGACTGGTTGTTTTGGGCATGGCAATAGTAATAAAAGATTTGGTTTATTTAAATTTATACTACTGTTGTGTACGAAGTGTTGCGAACAACCGACTGCGCATGACTGCGAGAGTTTTCGCCGTGAACGTAACAAAGAAGGTTTGACCATGTTAGGGGCCCGCAGCATCGCGAAACTAGTATAGAATTAACTCCGAGTCCTCTGGAGGGTCTGCGTGGTCCGCAGATTGCAAAAGGAGGAGCTCGCGATTAAAGGTTACGAGTTTGGGTGAGTAAATACGGCAATGCAGCAGCGGCTATGGCGGGCCGCGGCGAGCAGGGTCGTTAAGGTTACGTTAGTCATCGAATAGGGGGGTGTCAGGGGCTCTAAGGGGCCGTCGGTTCGTCGGCTCGTCGGCCGGTTGCCCTGTAATCGGAGTGTGACGGGTAATGGTTTCGGGCTGAGTCAAAGAACCGGGCCTGGCCGGCATCCGCCGCCAGCGAAACGAAGGAATAATCGGGCCGAAACGATTACGCGAGACCGCGAGCGAAACTTTGCAGACAGGAATTTCACCCAGTAAGGTTTTCAAAATGGCCGCCAAGGTGGCCAGTAGAGATCCTCAAGGGGGTTCGAAATTATTTATCGGACGAGCTTATCGATGGCTTAACTCTATTTTGCAAAACGTGGGCGAGGCCTTATTCTTAACGTTGACCTGTTAATATCTCGACAAGGAAGATCGTTTGACGAATTACACAAAAATTCGAGTGGGACTCTGCAGCCAGAAATCTCACCCAGGGAGCTTTTCAAAATGGCCGCCAAGGCAGTCAGTAGAAACCCTCAAGGGGGATCAAAATTATTTATCAGAGGAGTTTACCGACGTCTTAACTTATATCTAATTTGCAAAATGCACGAAATACTTTATTCTTAACGTCGATCTGTCAATATCCCGACAAGAGGGATCGCTTATCCCCAAAACCACATTCAAGTGATGGAACCTCCGTAAAAGAAAATAGATCTCGTTGGCATCATAGTCTGGAAAAATAAACACCGTGACGTTTATCTATCACTAATTCCTTACTTAGAATTAGGAAGTGGTTCCCTGGCCTGGATGCATTCCTGAATAGCCCTAAACGTAGCTATTTGAGATGTAACCCTCTCAGTTCATTTTGAGCAATCGAAGCTTGAAAGGCGTCGAGATCTCTACCTGACTTCTCTTGGGTAAGTCTTGGACGTACTACACGATGTTTGCAAGAGTTGCGATCGATTTCTCCCTCCGTATGCATCATCAACTTGTTTTTTCGAGGGTGCGAGACCAGTCAGGCGGAGCGACATTAGGAAGTCGGAGCGTAAGTGTGGGCAAACGCGAAATGCTTTGGTGTCGATTATGCGACGCCGTCGAGTCGGGGCCGGGAGAAGAAAGGGCACCGAGCATCAGGGGTGCCCTGACGTACGAGGCGTCGCGACGCCACGTTTCCGAACGTGGCCTGGCTACAACTCGTAGGGAAGATTGCAGGCCATCCCAATAGGGACCTTTCCCGTAAGTATGTACCAATGTAAGTACTTACGTAAACATTTGCATATGTATTCACGCAGCATAAAATAAAAGGCATCGCGTTCGTGGTTACTTTCCCGTTACGTTTAATTACTAAACAAATATTTCTTTGGCACTGCAATAGATATTAGAGTGGTGCTTTTTGTAAATACAAGACTGTTGTTGCACTCACGCCTTTGTAATGAAATACCCGTAAAGCACACTATGTTATTTAACGCTGGAATAACATGATATGTAACGAAAGTTGCTCAAAAGATACATTGATGTCATATAATGTCGAATTACTTTTATTATTACATTATTGTTACGTAACTGTGTTTGGTGAGTATTGTGTTAAGATCGACATTACAAAGACTATTTTGGCCGGAAGCTTGGCCTGCAAACGATTTAACCCTAATTGTCTTGTTTAACTTGTGGGGTTAACAAAAATTCATTCAAAATTTCTGTTGATAGAGTGACGACTTCCGGGGCGCCGATATTCCGGTACGGATGAATGATGCGGTAATGTAATCGCGTAGAAGGAACGTAGTAAGCGGATGAGAATGGTAAATAGTTCCATATCACTCATATTGTTAAACTTATAGAGGTAATTACTCATCTTTTAGATATACGGTGTCCGATGTTGAAAAATCATCATTTATTCGGTTGTAAATCATGACATTCCGGGGATTTGATAGAATCATTCTTAGCATGCATAGGACAATGACATAAGAAGTACATGTGACTCGGATCGCAAGTCGTTCAAATTTCTTTTATTCTCCTGCGTAGCCTCAATTACATATCAAGAACCTCGGTAGAATTTCGAGCCAACTACATTTTTAAACGAGAATCACGCCCTGCGCGTTGTATTAATTATATACAGCGCAGCAGGAAAGCCATGCTTACGTCGAATTTATTTCGTGACATTTGATTCCCAATCTGCATCTCATACCTAAGTCGAAAATGCCTGTTCTATTTAAAAATGCCCTGTTTCCCATTTTTATAGGAAGTTTTCGCTGACCAGCGGTCCCTGGTAAATATCCTTGGCGGTTATTGGGCAGAGTGACGACTCTTAGGCGGCGCCGGTGCCCCGGCAGGGACGAATAATGCGATAACGCGGCCCCGTAAGAGGAGCGTAACGAACGGATGGGGAGGGCGCCTCGACGGTGGCGACAGTCGGCAGAGCCCCGTCGTCGCCTCGACGGATGAAAGTGGAAAGCGCGGAAAGCGAGGAAGGCGAAGGACGCGCTCGCGGCGCTCGCCTCGACGCCGAGCGGCGCGGCGCGGCGGCCAATGGGCGCGCGGCGGGAGGGGGCGCCGCTAGTCGGACGCCAACCAGGAGGGCGCCCTGTCCCGCCGACGCGACGCGACGCACCGATCTCGCCAACCTCCTTATCCCTCGCCCTACCGAACCGAGGCGCCACCGTGGCCGACGCACCCCCGCAAGCCCCGGCTTGGCACGATCTAAACAAAATCTTTCAAACCGTCCGGACCCCCGAGGACGGATCCAACGGGATGCTGGCGAGATTTCCGATTTTTATGTAGTCGCCATTCGCGAGGGATTTTTCATCTTTTTTCCCGGGGGGAAGAGGGCGATGTTTACGCCCACGGGAAAAGTACGACGCGGAGGTTACCGGACCACCGTTTCTGGAACCGACTGCGAACGTACTCGTTTTTACCCTTTTCATTTATTTCATATCGGGGCGAATGCCCGAATCCCAAATTTCAGCCCTACTGCGAGCCCGCGGGACTCAAGCGAGATCTTTTTTAACCCCATTTTGTACATTAGGTTTCGATCTTGCATTTTCTATTTCATTCAAGGAATCTTCCTCTTTTCTCGGAGGATGCACCCTGACCGAGCATGCGGCTGTATTGAGCGAAAATGTACCTTTTAGTCGAAATATTGATAAAACTTTTCAACTAAGTGCCCCGAATCACTTGAAAATTCGGCATGTGATTGCGTAGGCCCCAAGGAGGAACGTGGTGGCGTGAAATTTCATTTTAAAAAATATTTTCATTTATCCCAGACCAGAGCCAAAAATACATGTTTTTTTTTCGTATCATGAGCACTACGTTCTTCCGTGGTTCCTCCACAATGATGTGGGAAGTTTGAAACGATACGATGGACCCAGTTTGTAGAGAAGTTTGATAAATAATGTAGCATTTTTTTTTTAATATAGAATGATTCTTTTGCAACACCTTAAACTCGAACAACTGCCCATGTAAGAGATACGCGTCTCCCAGATTTTGATGCTCTGCAACGTATATATCGGAAGAAACAAGATCGGAGACGGACAATTGGGGTGCTTCCTTGTCGGTGTGCACCCTCGGGCGGGCAGCAGGCTCCAGCAAGGGGCGCCAAGTGTTTTGATGCTTGTTACTCGAGGAGGAGAGCGAAGCGCAGCCCGTTGGCTTGATAAACAAGGAGACGCGCCGCGCCGGACTCGGCCAGCCCGACCCCTACTCCGTGGCCGCGTCCTCGGTCGGCGCCGCTGGGGGCGCTGGGGGGTGCGGAGGGTGCGGAGGGTGGCGGCGATGTGGGCCCCCTTCGGGCGCGGGCCAATTTCCGAGGGGCCACCGACGCCGCCGGTAGCGCGACGCCGCGCCGAGCCGCGCCGTGGCGTCTACGCAGAGGCGTCGGCGGGTCTCTTCCGTCTGTTGTTTTCGACTGGCTCGTGACATCGTCGACAAATGCCCGCGACGCCCGCGACGCCGGTCGCGCGAGCCCCTACCGGGTACCGGCCAATTTTCGGAGCCCACCAACGCTAGGGCCGTCAATGTAAAAGGAAAATCCGCCCAAAATGTCAAAGGAGAAATGTCAAGCGACGTCTTGCCGATGCTTCTCGTTTGGAGAGACACGGTTTTTTTTTTAAATCGAGAGGCTGTGTCGCTCTGAGCTCACCTCTTCGACAAACAAATTATTTATATCGCTCCGAGGGGGGATTTACTCTGGAAATTATTCATTTTGACGATTCAAATCATGGGGAAATTAGCTGAAAATCGCAAGCAAACTTCACTGGAAATCGGTGGAAATCGCCGAGTTTAGAGGCTGAACGTCACTTGTTATCGAATCGCATTGTTCTTTATCATATGAAATACCATCGCCTGTTAAAAAGGCTACACCATAACGCACCTTGTCT